TTATTGATAAAATATCTCACTAGAACAGTTTTTTTCTGTTCAAGCTTCATAAAAGTAAAAAGATAGTAAGGGATGGCAAAGCTTGACAGAGCTTATGCCTGAAGAGTATTTTGTGGGTTGTATGTCAAACCTACCTGTCACATTTTTAGTTTTTGATACTATGGCAACCCTAATATGGCTCTAGAGAATTCTGAACACAGTGTACAGTAAAATGAGTTAATATTGTAATCATATACTAAAATGAGTTAATATTGTATTCTATAATTCATTCCCCATTCTGTATAATACAGATGATAGGATTTTAGGATGTTTTTTTAAAAAAAATATGTTTATGGTATAAAGACAAAATTAAAAGAGACTTGGGCTTTTTCTCAAATCCTAAATTCTCATTCTAAAAAAATGGTTGTTACTGCCAATATTCCCATTCCTAAGAGTTCCGGGGGGGGGGGGTGTTCTAGACCTAGGAAAGCCTTCCTCCTTGATGCTTTATAGTGACTACTTCTTTTGTTTTCTTCACACTGTCATAACTTTGGTACTGCTCCTGAAGTGCAGCAGATTCTATACTAAAGTAGGCAGGCTGATTTTCTTTCATTCAACTGCCTAAAATCTCAAATCACACATTTTTGTTTTGCTGTTTGAGACATTAGAGCTTCTTTGGGTTTGGGAGTGGGCTGGTTTTGGGCTTCATCGTAGCGGCTCTGTGCCTTCAGGCAGGTCTTGGTTGAAGTTGGTCCAACAGCAATGGGTTTGGGTTTTTCCCCCTGCCATAAAAATAAGAGTATGGACCCATCTAGAAGAGCACTAGTTGACTCTAGTGAAACTTTGTAATGGCTGAAGATGAGACAATTGCAGGCTATTGAATACATAGTCTTCCCATCACTTAACAGTTACAGAGTTGGAAGGGACCTTGGAAGTCATCTAGTCCAACCCCCTGCTCACACAGGAGATCTATAGTAGGGATTCGAACCGCCGAACTGCCGACCTTTCTGATTGACAAGCTCAGCGTCTTAGCCACTGAGCTACCTAGCCATGCTATTTTTGAACAAAGGCAGGCCTGTTTAATAAACAGATTACTGTACTGTAATATCTGCCTATTCATATGAGCTGGACAATTGTTGCATAAATAATTCTGCTAATTTTAAGATCAGGATTTAAAACTGAAGGCTCCATCATAGAAATTTAGCAATTATAAATTTAATTGTACTGAGATTTACTGATATCAGCATGATAAATCAATCATAATTAACTTAAGAGTCAGTAAAATTAGGCATAGTACAGTAACTTTCTCTGGATTCTGCTACACTCCCGAATAATAATTGTATTTGCACTTGTCCAGATTGTCTTTATACTTCTGTTTGTAATGACTTAGATTTAAGGTGTTCATCTTCGGATGAATATGGTCCCATTTCATACAAAGCTAAGAATAGCTGGTGGCTGATTGAACAGTGGAGCATTCACTCTGTTAGTAAATATAGCTCATGGAATAGGGTTTGTGGAGATTATAAATGTAAGATGGATAGTTCAGAATAGGACTATCCCAACTGTGCTTTTTCAAGAGGCAACCGGACTTTATTTTTCTTTGAAGACATTTCACATGTCATCCAAGAAGCTTCTTTAGTTCTGAGAAGCAAAATGTCTTCAAAGAAAAATAAGAAAGTCCAGTTGCCTCTTGAAAAAGCACCTTTGGGACAACCATGACCTGAATGATTGAGAATCTCCGTAGACAGGATAGGGCTAATTAAAAATACCACAAGACACTGCACAATAGTATGAAATTATCAAGTTGTTTCTATAATAGTTTCACATTGTCAAAGCTAGGACTACAGCAGGTCAGAATATCACGGCTCTGCTTATTTCCTATTGAGCAATTGCAATTCTTAAAGTAAATTCTCAAGGTGAAAAAAGCAGGACAGTATTGACTCCATTTCTTAAGTAGCTGGACATCAATCTTTCTAATCCCTAATTTTTTCATAGTGCCATTGCAAATGATAGAGAGCATTCATTTATTCGATTTTTATTTATTCTGCCTTTATTACTCTATAAGTAACTCAAGGTGGCAAACATGCCTAATATTCCTTCCTCCCTTTCCCCATAACAACAATCTTGTGAAGTGGAGCAAGTACTGTCTCAAAGTCACCCAGCTGATTTTAATGCCTGAGGCAGTACTAGAACTCTGTCTCCTGATTTCTAGCCTACTACCTTAATCACTACACCAGACTCTCATGATTGTGTTTCCAGGTGTTTCTGGAATTTGTAATCCCAACACATCTGGAGGTTATGTGGCTGAGGAAAAGAAGTTCAACCTGACATTTTTTTTAAAAAAAAGAAAAATCATTGGTTCAAGGTGGATGTGAAAATGAGATATCCAAACTGTTAAGAGAAACAAACTTCTTATTCCTTGTTTTCCCAAAACTCTGTCAAATTCTTACGGAGGAGGGCAGAGGAGAAGGAAATCTTCCATGTCTCCCATGGTCTCCCCTTCCAAAATAAGTTGAAATTGGTGCTGTTTTGGCTAAAATAGTTCATTCCTAAAATCACCTGCACTGGATGTTTGTAGCATTAATTTTTTAAAAGGAGTTACTGCAGAGAGAACAAATGATAGGCTTGAAGGCCTAAAAGTCAGCTAGGATTAATAATTAACGTCATGGCAGGTCAGTCTATAGATGGAACCATATTATTAGCATCATTTCTTTGCCTGAGGAAAGTTTCTGTTCATTAGAATTTTTTTCCCCATTAAGACATCAAATAATTGGCATTTCAAAATATTTTTGACAGGTTTTTCCTGTAAAAACTCCTGCATAAACCAAGCATTCATGCATTAGAAGGATGTCTGTTTTAGGAATCGGTAATTGATTAAAAATGACATAGCAGTTACACATATTGATAACATTTTCAGTCAGTAAGAGGTATAGTATATTTGACAGATGATTGAATGGCTGCAGTGCTATTTAATTTATTCTTAAATTATCTGGAATGCATCATTGTTTTAAAGGCCACTAAATTATTCAGAATGGTGGTTTATATCAAAGTGGCCTGAAATTGATTTCTCTATGCAAGGTAAACTGATAGCTGAATTGAAAATGAAATCATGTTAAGCATAAATTGAGTCACTTTGAGGCTAGGGAGATTCCTAACTTTTCATATACACATACCATAAGTAGTGGTAAGTCTCTTGGCACATTAAAGATGATAATGCAATGGGTTGCATTGCAATGAATCCATGTATATCCTACTAAAATGCATATCTTTAGACAAAACAATGCATTTTGGGCAGTTCTTGAACCAAGATACTCCAAATGGGCTTACTTACATAATGTATCCAAAATATGGAACCCATGACTCCCAAGGAATGAAATTTGGGGAAAATTTGGCTGTTGCAATGCTACTGGTTGCTACTGTGGTTGTGTGATCTTCATTTTCAACATTCTGTGACAGTTTTCCAGCCAATCTCACAATCCCTCCCTCCCTCCCCCACCCAGCAACAGTCATTATCTGCCTGGTACGGTAGGGAAGGGATTAAATATTTCTGGTGTTCTCTGCCAGATTTCCTCAAGGAGACTTGATGGGGAAGCTGGCAGAAATCAGAAGTTGCTACTGCTCCCACTGCTTTTTTGCCCGCCCTTGGTCATCTGTTTCTCTTTTAGATAAGGAAATCTCTCTGAAACAATGATCCCATGGGGCACATGTTGTCTTATATTTTAAAAATAAATGGCAAATAAAACACCTAGTATGATAACACTTTTGTTTTAGAGCTATTGATGCTGATTGAACTTTTCAGTAAGGATGTCACAGAGTTGGCAAATATGCAAAAATACTACTAGTAGGATCAGTGTCTTACCAATGGCAGAAAAATATGAAATAGCAGGAACAAGATAAATTTACAACAAGTAAGCATGAGGTGGTGACCACCTAAAGGTAAGCATTTCACACAGCATATGAGTTATGGAAGTCACATCTGCAATGCACAGCTGTGACCTTAGCTTGAAAAGAGATTTATTTATGAGGAGCAGATTTAGCAACTAAGGAGTTGACTCTTAAGCGGTATGAACCCTGAGGTCCAGCTGTGCTCTTCACACTTCTCTCGCCTCCGAATCAGAAGAGGCCTTCTAGTCTATGCTTATTCCCAGAAAAATAGTAACATCTGCTTCAGTTGCATCTGTAGCGATTTAGGCAACAGGTCTTTCTGGAAGCAAATCTGCCTCCAGTGCCTTTCACAGATAAGTGGTTTAGAGCAATACATTTTAACCTCCCTAAATCTTATTAGTGAGAAATGGGCCCTAATTATGGCTAGGAATGTTTAAATACCCTTAAATGCATTTCAGGTCTGAGTAGCCATATCTACACTCTTGTGGAGAGGATAAAGGGAACTGGACCTAAGGCTACAAATATGCAATGCTGTTTTCTAATCCTGTGAAAATCTTTGAAGTATGACAGCTTCAACATACTTGAAGCAGCCATTCATGAGGCTTTGAACTCTCCCTTCCCCCCCCTTCCCTAATCCTGAGACCTAGATTCCTTTCTCACATGGTGAAACAGCATGCCCTAGTTTTATTTAATCATTTTGTAGTCTGATGGGAGAGGAAAATAAAAACAGCTGAGAACTTTAGTCTATTTACTTATTTTCTATTTTTTTAGTGGAAACCTTGTTTAATTTTGGACACGAAAATGGGCCCTCAGAAGGAAGAACACATGAAGCTGTAATATTGCCATGGCAACATGGGTCCCGGCACAGGAAAGAAATGACAAACTTTGAAAAACTGAAATGTATTTCTGCAATATTGTTACTTGTCTTCTTTCATGCTCCTGAATTTATTTACCTGAGACTAATTCAGAGCAGCATGACTTTTCCTTCATGCTGTGGAAGCAAAGACATTTTGTTGCCCTCATCCTCCAAAATTCTGCTTTTGTAACACGTGTCATCTCAGACCCCAGTGATTCCCCCTAAGAAAAAACTATAAGGTTAAAGCTATAGCAAGAACAGTACTGTTGATAGAGGAGAGGATTGTATAATAATTTTTAATCCATCCCTTGCTTTCAACCAGAAGGGTTTTTCAGACCTTGCCTTTGCAATTATGAAAACGATGCCCTGGATATAAAGAGACCTGGGAGCTGTTGCTAGCAATTTTTCAGTTTTTTTTTTTTTTTTTAAATCAAGCTGCTTAAGCAGAAGGTAGTCCCAGACTCTAACAGGCTAGAAAACACACCCATTTTTTCCTCCTCCAAAATGTTTATTTCCTTTTCCTTGGGAGCCCCTTTCCTGTGCCATCTGGAGCACAGAGTAAAGAATTCCTGCAGAAGGTCCACAAGAGGCTCATAACAAGCTTCACTACGCAAGCAGCCTGGTTCTTCCCAGCAGAGGTGCATTGCACACATAATGATGAGCATAGATCAGCTCGCAACAGCCTGCAGTAGCTTCTGACGTTCCCCTTCTTTTCGTTCTTTCCTGCAGCAAAGAGAGAATATTGAGTGGGGAGTGGGGTGGGTGGTATGGGTCCTTCTTGTTGTCTCTTAGATGAAAATTGATCAATTGTTCATCGAAACACAACCGGCAGCTTCAGTATGCACGGATAAAGAGCCTCCAGTGTCTGGTTTGTTGCATCAAAGCCACCAGGAGGAATAACAAGAGCCTCATGGCTTCCTACTCTCCCCGTATGATCAGCTGTTGCCATGGCAGCAGAACTTCTGTGGTACCTTGGTTCAACCTGTGCTTTCACCCATTTTGCTTGACTGCATCATGCCAGCTCCTTGGAATACTTCGCTCTTTGTTTGCGTAGCTTCACAAAGGCCTGTGCTTCCTTGTCTCCTTTGCGGGTCCCCAAGAGCTTCAGGATGTCATTGCCTAAGAGGGAAGAGATGATCTGCAGTTCACTGAGGTAATGTATAGCGGTACTGCTATAGCATACTGTACTTTCCCCCCGTAATTTAATACAAAGTCATTTTCCTGCCAAAAAAAGTTCCATTGCTCATTACCCAGCTGTCAGAAGAGAAGCTGTCTAGATGCTTCTGAGCAAGGCTTTTACTGCATAATTTCTAATGTATATCATGATAAAAATAAAAACAAAGAAAGATGCTGAGGCCTTAGAAAAAGCGCAGAGAAGAGCAACAAAGATGAGAAAGGCTCTGGAGGCTAAACTGCGCAATGAACATCTAAGGGAACTAGGCATGTCTTGCTTAATGAAGAGAGGACTTAGGGATGACATCATAGCCCCTTTCTAATACTTGAAGGGTTGTCACGGGGAAAAGGGGGTCTATTTGCCAAAGTGCCTGAGGCAGGACAAGAAGCAGTGTGCAGAAGCTTGTCAGAGAAAGATCCAACCTGCAACTAAGAAATTTTCCTGGCAGTCAGAACAATTAATCAATGCTTGTCTCACAGAATTGTGGGTATATCATTGCTGGAGGTTTTCAAGAAAAAATTGGACAACTATTTCTCTGGAATGGTATAAGGTTTTCCTGCCTTGGGTTGGAATAGGAGACCTCCAAAGTCTCTTCTAGCCCTATGCTTCTATGTGCAAAAATGACTTGGCTTCTTCCATGCAATCCCAAGAGGAAAACATTGCTCAATTTGGCCTTCATTATTATGCATAACTCACTAGAAACTTGTATTGTGTTCTGTACATTCCTATCTGTTTGCCTATTTTTTTTCCTTCTTCCTATAGAAAAGTCTTTTAAGGTAATATAACGTTCGTGCAATTTGTTTTGAGCAGGGATGCTAGTTTTCTTGTGGAAGCATAGAACAGAACAGAATAACAGAGTTGGAAATTGAGGTCTTCTAGTCCACCCCCCTGCTCAGGCAGGAAACCCTATACCATTTCAGACAAATGGTTGTCCAACCTCTTCTTAAAAACTTCCAGTGTTGGAGCATTCACAACTTCTGGAGGCAAGCAGTTCCATTGATTTAATTGTTTAACTGTCAGGAAATTTCTCCTTAGTTTTAAGTTGCTTCTCTCCTTGATTAATTATATATGTTACATAGCAGTGGTGAAATTCAGCTGGTTCTATCCGGGTCGGGTGAACCAGTAGCGCCAGGGGCAAGCGGCTCCGCCCTGCCCCCCAGACGTCATCACGTCCCGTTTTTGACCCTCTGCACATGCACAGAAGGCTCTGCACATGCGTGGAGGAGGTGCGCATGCTCACATTTACGAACTGGTAGCGAAGGTAAGTGAATTTCACCCCTACTACATGGATATCAGTTGTGAAAACATTACAAAAATTGAGAGGTATAATTTGGGGGGAATTCTTCTGTAGAAATAAAAACTAGAAATATTTACTGGTGGAAAAATGTGTATTAATATAATGGTCATTAGTGAACAATACATATAGCAAACAAGGCAAGAAAGTTGTTTTGATTTCTTCCTTTAGCCTTAAACACTTCCTTCTGATCCCTTTAGTCTTGAATTAATCTTTGTTTCATCTTGGGAGAATCTTAACACATATTTTTAAAGGAGTGGATAAAGTGGGATTTAATTGCTAATCTAATGTCTTGAGTACAAGGGACGTAAAATGCATAGAGTCAAGAACCACAGGAAATTTCTATTTTTTTCTATGAACCTTAAGAAAATTCAAAAGCAACCACTGATACAGACTGGGATTTATAACAGTGACTTGGAAAAGAATGAAAGAGGTAAGAAAGAAAAAAAGCTACAGTAAACTGCAATTTGGAATCATTTTTTGCAAAATGCCCCGGGTTTATCTTTCTCTAAAGGCCAGTGCAAGCCTTAATCCTCACTTCACTTTGTCATGTGCTTCATCCTTACATTACTCTATTCAGCAATTCTTCACTGCTCAGCCAACATGGAGACATGTTCATCATATAGAAAGAGCAGCAAAACTGACCCCCTAAAGCAATTGAGGAGAAGTAGGAGGTGGGCACAAGACTTACACAGCATGGCCAGAGGAATCAGGGTGAGATGAAATCTCAATCCCTGTCAATGGGAAATCACTTTATCTGCTGCTCAAGAAGCAGCTCAAGAAGGCAAAACCGTTTTTGCAATTGCCGAGGCAGTAGGTAATCAGCTTATCTTTCCAAGCCCATGGTGCTAAGAATTTAAAACTTGGTATCTAGTGAGATCTTTGGAAAATATCCACTCTCCGTTTAATAATGCAAAGCTTAAATCAAGTTTTAACCCACTAATGAAAAAATAATTGCATGTAATTTCTCCTGTGGGTGGAACAAGAACAAGATCCTAATAGAGCAAATAGTCTATTTTCAGTAAAACAGATTAAAAACAAGCCAATAGAATTTTCTTAACTTTGCCTTCTTTAATGACATTATAGGCCAATCTTGTCTAAGGTTTCATCTCATTATTGCAACAGATTGCAATATGCAGATGGGGAGGAACAGGCTCAGGCTCAACCCATCCAAGACCGAGTGGCTGTGGTTTCCGACGTCCCGATATAGTCAGTTGACGCCATCACTGACTATTGGGGGCGAATCACTGGCCCCCACGGAAAGGGCTCGCAACTTGGGCGTCCTCCTGGATTCATGGCTGTCTTTAGAAGAGCACCTGACGGCCGTGACCGGGAGGATTTTTTATCAGGTTCGCCTGATTCGCCAGTTGCGTCCCTTTCTGGATCGGGACTCGTTACGCACAGTCACTCATGCCCTCATCACCTCCTGCCTGGACTATTGTAATGCTCTCTACATGGGGCTCCCCTTGAGGAGCACCCGGAGGCTCCAACTGGCGCAGAGTGTGGCCGCGCGGGTGGTAATGGGAGCGTCATGGCACTCCCATGTGACACCTCTCCTGCGCGAGCTGCACTGGCTCCCGGTGGTCTTCCGGGTGCGCTTCAAGGTTTTGGTTACCACCTTCAAAGCGCTCCATGGCTTAGGACCTGGTTATCTACGGGACCGCCTACTACCACCAATAGCCTCCCACCGGCCAGTACGCTCTCATAGAGAGGGACTCCTCCGGGTGCCGTCAGCCAAACAGTGTCGGCTGGCGACCCCTAGGGGGAGAGCCTTCTCTGTGGGGGCACCTACCGTCTGGAATGAGCTCCCCCCAGAGATACGGAGGATTCCGGATCTGCGCACCTTCCGCCGCGCTGTGAAGACTTTTTTATTCCATCAAGCGGGCTTGGCTTAATCTCCTCCCTCTTTTAATATGTAAATTTTAATCTGTTTTTAAATTATTGGGGTGTTTTAATCTGTCTGGGCCAAAATGATTTAATTTGATTTTATCTGGTTTTAAATTTTGTGTATTTATGTATTTTATTGCTTGGCTGTTCACTGCCCTGAGTCCTTCGGGAGTAGGGCGGTATACAAATCAAATAATAAAATAAATAAATAAAGATTATTCATAGTGTACAAAATGTAACAATCCCAGAATTGTATTAAAATATTACAGCCAGTTTCTTCTTCACCTTCACAATTACTTGGGAGAAGTGGTAAGATATTTGTGGGCAGGAAATTCATCTGATATTTCTTATTTTTTGATAATGTGTACATTTCCAGTTGCTATTCCTCTACATTTTTATAATGTTTAAAATGTAGCCGCCTATATAAAATTCTAGAAGGGCATTTACTTTACCCAAATATTTTCTTATGGAAGTTTCAAAACAAAAGATATTTCATGCAAATCTATACCACTGCCTGATAAAAGTAGAAGAGCCACCAGCTAGATTAGAATGACTAATGGATTAATTCCTCAATTTAGCATGCTATAACTATAAACACTTCACGGCCTCTTCTCCCTTCTGTAGCAAAACATAAATAACATAATGAATATTCTGACCTATTAACAGCCTGGTTTGTGCAACAGAATAAATAAAATTGTTCTTTGATCCTGTTTGAGATGGATTCCTAACCAGAATGTTTTCATTCCAGAGAATAGCATGAAGGATGAGAGGTGTGGTTACCAGCAGTTCCAGGATGAGTTAAAGATAAACGGATCTGTGGTACTCTGGATGGGTTGATTGACTCTTCAGGCTCATTCAGACCCAAGACCCTGCAGAGTGGGAGGAAAGCTTCTCCTTCCAGGTCATTTGCTCCCAAGGTGTCATAGTCAAACACTGTAAGCAGCAGACATGCCCCGTCTTGCTGACATTTTTCTGGAGGAACCAAACTGTAGGGAAAACCAATATGGCAGTGATGAAGTCATGATACCTCAGGTCTTCAAATAGAAATAGGACAACTTAATACATTACCACCACCTCCACCCCCAATAGGGAACAGAGCTCAACCTCATAGGCAGTTTTCTCAGAGTACAGCAGTGACACCTCCAACATGTCAACCAAAGGAAGATGAGGGACATATTAAACTTATGCTCTAAGTATGATAACTGTGTAATCTTGGAAGATGTCTATAGGACAGGAAAGAGGAGTGGCTCTTCATACATACAATTCAAAGGCTTCATCAAACAGAGGATGGAGATTGTTCTTTATGCACTCAGTTGTCCGTACTGCAATCTCAGGGAACTCATGACGTGGCTCCAGAGTGAGTTGGATGAAGGGATCACTTAGGCCTATATTGGGGGGAGGGGAAGGTATAGAAGAAGTAACAGAACAATAATGCAAAACCTACTTATCTATCATGAACAATTTGTTTCTCAAAAAAGCCTCCAAAGTAAGGCACATCCGCATAGTATTCAACCTCTTGTAATACACAAGGTTAGGACAGAGGTAAAATTCTTATCTTGTTCATTTTTATTGAAATGTTTATAAACTCAGGTCAAGTATCACTTTCTTCTCCAGTCCTTTCCAATATGATATGGACTAGATGAAGCCACTGTTTTTGGAGTCATTCTATTGGTCACTCTTGACTAGCGCCTGTCTGTTGATATGCAACAGTCCTCTGACATCTAAATCAAGGGTCAGTGACAGCGCTTTCCCATTCCTGTTAACTAACAATGACAGTCCTAAGTGTTACATATATTCCAGCCCTTCACAACCTTATGCTCCCCAAATGTTGAGAACTGCTGTTTCCTATCTACTAATTTTTCAGGGAAAAATTATCCTCACTGCAGTGCCAAGATATCTGGATGATGTGAAGTTGAGAAAAGTTGTATGTATGTGCTGTACTGCTAAAGGTTAATAATTCTTAAATTCAAGTTGTTTGTATTTTCAAACAATTTTTCCTTCATTCAATGTTGTTGTTGTTGTTGTTGTTGTTGTTGTTGTTGTTGTTGTTGTTGTTATTATTATTATTATTATTATTATTATTATTATTATTATTGTTATTATTCCAAGTCCTGGAGCACAAAGTGTGATTCGTGGCAGCTTTTTAAAAAGCAAGCAAAGCCAGAAATGCACTATTTGCAGAGCACTCAGTCAACATCCTCCTCTTCTGGAGAGCTGAATGAAATGCAGGCAATCTATTATTTTCTCCTTTTAAGAATGCAACAACATGACACCTTGGCATTTTTCCCTAACTGTGTGCAATGACATCCTTGGAATACATACACACACACACACACACACACACACACACACACACACACACACGCTACAGAGCAGAAGATCTTTGCTCAGATTGCCTTTTAGAAGATAAAAAATTATTCATGTGCTCTATACACAAACAAAATTAGGAATTAGAATAGAAACCAGCATGTGGGATACATTACATCACCAATTGTGTGGCTACCAATGGGCACAAAGCTGCAGGTCTGGATGTATCCAAACCTATCCATTTCTATGGTCATTCCCAAGTTTTCTTTTATTTTAGCCAAATTATAGTAATGAACAGAATGTTGGAGATAGCTCAACAGGTAGGACTGTCTTTGATTTTTAGCGGCTAAGATTGATAGAGATGGGAACCAGTGGTGGGTTTAAACCGGTGTTACCACCGATTCGTTTTGCGCACACGCTTTGTCAGTCAAGACTGAATGGGGGTTAGGAGAACCAATAATGATGGAAACATGGGAAAAGATATGGGTTAGAAATGTAAGATTTACACAAACTCAAAACTTAAGAGAGAACTTTTATAAAATGTTTTATAGATGGCATTTAGATCCAAAAAAACTAGCCTGTATGTATCCAAACTTACAACCTAAGTGTTGGCGATGTGGATGTGAAGATGCTACGTATTTTCATATATGGTGGACATGTAAAAAAATTAAGGCTTTTTGGATAAAAATATGGTGGATTATGCAAAATATTTTAAAGAAAAAGATTAAATTTACACCACAGTTTTTTTTGTTGGGAATAGTTACGGATTGTACTGTAATAGAAACTAAGTTGGTTTTGAATTTAATAACAGCTGCCAGGTTACTGGTGGCACAGTATTGGAAGAAAGAAGATCCACCTACTATTGAGGAATGGACACTAAAAGTCGTGCATTTGGCAGAGATGGCAAAAATTTCAGCATATCTTAAAGACCATTCAAACGAAAGATACATAACGGAATGGAGAAGATGGATTGACTATATTCAAAACAAGTATCAGACTAAGAAGATTCATATAGCTTATGAGTGAAACATTTTTAACTTTTAGCTTATGTTTATAGTGTTTTGAGTTATAAGGAGTTAAAGACCTAGAAAGAATTTGAAGTCAACAATTTGTTAGCATATTTTAGTTTTATGTTTGTGGATGCTATACCCTGTGCTTGTTCTGGGAAGTCAAGGGAGGGGGTGGGGGGAAGGCTGAGGGGGGATGGGTGGGAGGGCAAGGGGGGTGGGAAGGGCTGAGGGGGGAAGGGCGGGCGGGGAGAAAATGTTTGTATTTCTTATAAAACTTTTCAATAAAAAAAAAAGACTGAATGGGGGTATTCTCTGCAGAACAGATTAAACTCATCCTAGAAAATTAAAAGCTAATTTTGCTGTCTTTGAATTCTTGACCCTGTTAGGATATGGTTTGAGCCTAACTAGTTGTCCAGGCAATCTGTAAATGTATTATGTTACTTTAAAGGTTTTCATTGTAATGCTGAGTCATGCTGTAATTAGGTAATGACTGGTTGTGAGAGTATTTAAGCAAGGTACTGTAACGTATTCAGTTTGATGATGAAGCTGATATGATATGCTACCAGAGTATGATATGCTACCATTGAGAGGAGTTGCTATCTGTAATCATCGTTTGATGGATCTGCTACCATCGTGGTTTGTGAACCAGAGTGAGTTTGTTATTCTAACCAACTAATGTTTGTTTGGTAAGAAGATTCTGTAACTACTGGACTGATTTACTGGCAAAGACTTGGAATTTGTTTAAAGACTATGAGACTGTTTTTCTACTATAAAGTAAGCTTTTGATAAACCAGTTTGCATAACTCTTATTCATCGCTCTCAGCAACGTTTCCTTGTGCATTTACTCTGCTGGTTGGTAACACAACAACAATATCCTTAACAGACCCCATGGCTAGATTCTGCAGTGAAATCAGTTCCATTTGAATTGACTCTGGCCATAAATGCCAAACAGTGGCTACACTCAAAATTAAACTGCAATATGTTAGTTAAGTGTATCTCTAAACTCAACAGTGCAAGCAAGGATCAATTCCACACCCATGCTAATGAAGCTAACAATATATCCCAAATTATTCAGGAATTCAACCGAAAACTTCTCTTACCATTCGAGTCCATGGGAAGGAGATTAACAGCATTGAGTACTTCAATGTACAGTTTTTGTTCTGAGTGACGGTAAAAAGCTTTGATAGTCACAGCACCATATTTTTCAGGAGTGGCCTCTTCCTAAGAGAAGAACAACCCAGAAAAACTGTCAGGGAAAATGATGACGTGCTGTCAAAGATAAAAAAAGCCAACGTATTAAGGAAGCCAGAAGATAAACAATCCATCCCAAATTAGAAAGTCTGATACTATTGCATTGTACAGTTTTATAACTCATATTACCTGTTCCTAAATAATATACAAAATAATTAAACTGCATAATTTCCCATATTCACATGATTGATCATTGGATGGCTTAATCCCTCCCTGGCTAGCTGATTAAAAGAACCTTGGTGGCCCAGAAAAGAGCCTTGGTGGCGCAGTAGACTAAAGTGCTGTTAAGTAGCACTGGCTGCTTGCAAATACTGCAAGTTCAAATCTCACCAGGCTCAAGGTTGACTCAGCCTTCCATCCTTTCGAGGTAGGTAAAATGAGGACCCGGTTTGTGGGGGCAATAAGCTGACTTTGTATAAAAAGAGAACACTGCTTAGTGGGGGGTGGACGAAAGCCCTACTAAGCAGGTATATACAAAAGTATGAAGGCTATTGCTTAACACATTGTAAGCCGTCCTGAGTCTCCAGAGAAGGGCGGCATATAAATCGAACCAATAAATAAATAAATAAATAAATAAATAAATAAATAAATAAATAAATTAAGGGTTAAATTCCAATATCCATTATCTATAGCCAGCACGGACTTTGATGAGGGAATCTGATATCTGGAAGGCCATATACATTGCCCAAACTTCATTTTGCTCAAATAAGTATTTTTCCTTTTCTATGTAAGGTTTCCCTTAAAACCTTCCTTTTCCAACAAGCCGGGCTGGCCTAATTCTTTTTAAGTGTTTTTAATTGTTTTGTTTATTGTTTTAATTAATGGGGCCAAATTTATATATGTATTTTAACTGTATTTTAATATTTGTATTTGATGTTTTTATTTGGCTGTTCACCTCCCTGAGTCCTCAGGGAGAAGGGCGGTATACAAATTCAAATTAAAAAAAGTAAAATAAAATAAAATATGTAGCAATTTGTGTGGTGAGTAGATTTTAATTCCATCCTGAATAGTAATAAAACTTTACCGTATTGCCTACAAAAATATTTAACATTTGTCATTGATGATGTAGGTCTTTTCAAAAATCAAACAGCACATTATATCCTGTTCCATTTTGTTGATACAGTCTTGTTAAACATATCTTCTTGATAAGGTATTTTCTAACATAACAAACATCACTTTCATATAATGTTACTTAATTTCCCCCCATAAACTTTTTTTTAAAAAATAACAAGGGTGGGAAAAATGTATGCCAGTGGACTTTCTTCAATGTTAGTATTTGCCTGACTGTGAAATACGGTGGGAGCATAATACTCAAATTGTTTCCACCAGTACTAATGGCAGAATTTTTATGCTTCACTATACTAATCTTGAATAGGAAACAATACAATTCTACTAAAAGGAAAAAAAAATATCTCATGGAAATCTGAAATAGCAACTCTGGCCCTTGGTGATTCTGGCCAATTCTAACACTTCAAATTTGAAGCTGTTAATCAGTGGTAGATAGCCTGAAGTTCCAACATCAATTGCGGTTACCTTAACCTTTGTGTGTGCTTGTGTGTGAGCCTGCTGTACACAATTCTGAAAGTTGAAGGTATGTATGGCTTCCCACTAGTTAAAGGTAAGACATCAAATAACGACCACTGTGTAAACTCTACAAGAATTTTCAACATGTTAAAAAAAACTACTCCCAGCCTACCTTGCCAAATCCAGAGAAAGCAACAACTCCTGTCCCACTGTCTATCATTAATATATCCCCCTTCGGTCCTTCCACTTTCTAAAAAAGTAAGTGCTGCTCCATTTATCAAAAGATTGTTTACCATGCTGTAAGTCAATAGTCATGGCTGTATCAACAACTGAACTCAGTAAGATGAGCAAAAGGAAGGAACAAATAAAAAGGAGCTTTAATGGCGCAGTGGTTAGAATGCAGTACTGCAGACTAACTCTGCCCACATACCAGGAGTTTGATCCTGCCCGACTCAAGTTTGACTCCCATCCTTCCATGGTTGGTAAAATGAGAACCCAAATTCTTAGGGGCAATATACCGACTCTGTAAACAGTTTAGAGGGTACTGTAAATCTAAGTGCTATTACTATTATCATATTATTAAACAGGAACTAAGATCGGCCTCACCTGTTGCTGGATTCGAGCATTGAAATACTTTTCAATAAGTTTTCTGCTGTTAGAGGAGCAAAGATCCAACTCTTTCTCCAGAGCCTATGAGAGAAATGAGTATCAGCAGATATACTAGACTATGAATAAAATAAGTAATACATGAGTAACAGAGAGAAATAAAAGCGGAAGCTTTCCCAGGCAGGAAGTGTTGCTACATCAGCCACTTTTGACACTGTGATCTTGTTTGTCCAATGTCAGGCCATACACAAAGTTTCAGCTAAATGCTTAGTGCTTTTAGTGATTTGCCTCCTTCCTAGGGCTGAGAAAGAATGATTGGCCCAAGGTCACCCAGCTGGCTTCATGTCTAAAGAGGGATTAGAATTTAGTCTCCCAGTCTCTAGCCTGATGTCTTACTACATCAGGCAGATGCTCTATTAGTTAAAGTAGTGTTTATTAAATTATTTTCATATAATAAATCTTGGGGGGGTTTGATGAACAATTTTAAACTTCCTGAAAAGCTCAATGAGCTGAAGAGTTTGGGAACCCCAACCTAGAGCCATTTTATCAGCATACTTATGTCTAATATCAGCATGAAGTGAATACTTTTGCCCAATGATTTTGATAATTTCAACAGCTACATTTGTACAGCTACAGTACAAATGACCTCCCTGCTCCATTCACAGATTACCTCTGCCTTAACACTATTTAAAATGAAATGGCATCTTCAAAATGCACAAAAGCTTTCCTTCCACTAGTGTGAACTAGATCCGTAGTTTGAACAGGATGGAAATCCTGACAGGGCAGCACACATGATGCCACAACATAGGTGGGCAACTTTTGTGTAAGCCAGAATCTGCATTTTTTTTAAAAAAAATGTTTGTGCCTGGCTAACAGATACAGTATTTGTGTCCCTTATGCACTGTTGTTATGTGAGTGAGCAGGGAACATATGGTATATTCATGCAGGGGTTTTGTATGCAAAGGTAGGTTGATGCAGGAATGGATAGAAAAGGTAGGTTATGTGCTATTGTTTTTTTTTTTATGTATGTAGATATATAAAGCCAATGTTTGGGCATGCTTAGAGTACCTGTTGCTCAGAGGTTTTTCTGTAAAGCAGGCCAGCACAGCTTATGGCTGGCCAAGCAGTCCCAAATGGCTCACTGGCATTTTTTTTTTAAAGTAATAAATTCATTACCATCACTGTTGCTGGCTTAAAAGGCACACTGCAGAACACCTCCAAGTGTCATCCAGAGGTAGGTTTCAGCAGGTACTGACTAGTTCTGGAGAACCGGTAGCGGAAATTTTGAGTAGTTCAGAAAACCATAGTAAAAATTCTGACTGGCCCCACCCCCATCTATTCTCTGCCTGCCAAGTCCCAGCTGATCGGGAGGAAATGGGGATTTTGCAATAACCTTCCCTTGGATTGGGGAGGGAATGGAGATTTTACAGTATCTTTCCCCTGCCACGCCCACCAAGCCACGCCCACCAAGCCATGCCATGCCATGCCCACCAAGCCATGCCATGCCCACCAAGCCACGCCCACAGAACCGATAGTAAAAATTTTTGAAGCCCATCACTGGTCTCATCACTTCTGCCAGTTCCAAGGTTGCCCCTGTTTCACTAGCCATCAAACAGCTGATTGGCACGCCAGGTGTTACTCTGGGGGCCACAAGGATTTTTAATTTATCGATGTGGCTCCTTCCCTTTTACAAGTTGTACAGGCTTGTTATAAGGGTAGTAAAGGTTGCATTAGCTTACTATAAAAGCTGGTGTGTGAAGGGCATCTTTGGATAGTCCACAGCCTTCTCCATGAAAGCAAGGTTCCAAGTTCTGTGGGAGAGATGGAGAAAAAGAGAGAAAGTGGCAGGACATTGGAGCACAGCATAAGCCATACTCTTCCTCCTTGGTTTCATTTTACATCCCTAAGTACCTGGAGGGCAAACTGAAATTTCTTAAAGTAGTCCAATTTTCCAACTTGTTGTTTTGTAGCGTTTTGTAGCAAGTCCAAGGTGTGATTCCACAGAAGCTCCAGAAGACTGTTTGGAAAGAACCAAAAGAAGTAGAGTTGTACAATAGATTGCTAGACAAGACATTTTTACTAAGACTCGGCAAATTTAATTTAATTTAATTTAATTTAATTTAATTAATTAAATTTATATGCCGCCCCTCTCCGAAGACTCAGGGCGGCTAGTACATTTGATCCTGGGGCTGGACTGTAGCTGCTCAAATTAAGGATGAGTGGATTATAAATTTAACTTTTTCTTCATTTCTAATATTTAAAGATCTGTCTACATGTTTTATTTTCCTTGCATTTTTAAGTTCCATTTATCCCACTCTTGCCCCATTTGAGCTATTTTCTTCATTTGAGAAATGTCTAATTTTGGGAGGATGTATTTCTCCAAATATATTATTTTTGTTTGCAATTTTATCTAAATATTTTGCAACCAGTGTCCTCATTTCTACATAACATTTTCATAATTAAATTGCACTGCAAAATTTAGAGAATAATGCCTTTGTATATTACAGCTAAATTACAGTGTGCATTGGTTCAAACATGTGATATCATAAATTTGCATTAAAAAAACTATTGTAATTAAATGATATCCCACCTCCCTAATTCACAGCCATTGATCCACCTATATTCTAACAAACACACTATCTCAAGAATGATTAGTTGGGGCAAATATACAGTATATTAAGGAAGATAAGACAGCAAACCAGTTTACCAAGTTTCTAATTCCTAGAGGTTTAAGAAAAATTCTATAGGAGAACAACATAGGACAACCAAAAGGCTGATATTAAAAATAAAACATGCAGATGTTTAGTGGGCCATGAAAGAGCATCAATTATTCTAAACTCAGAGGAAAAATAACAACAGGCCACAGAATAGGGACATTAATATTCAAATGACAAATATGATGCCAGTACTTTGTTTTAACCATTAACAATATTTATACCTCTCTTTTCCTCTATTCCATTCACAGCAATGTACCTAGCCAACTTTTGCTCTTCTCAGAAACCCAACAGGGCTAGACATGGTTAGTAGTTGTCCCTTTCAATAGGACACCATGCACACCATAGCTTTAGATGACACTGAGAATTTACACAGAAGAATTCATAAACACTATTTTATTTATAGACTTTATTGAATGTAAAGAATGCTCAACTCCCAACAATTCTGGGTGACTGACACTGTAAACTAGAAGACGTTGCACAGAAAGAAAAGGAAAAAAAAACACATCCATCCAAAGACATTGGTGTTGTTGCCAAGGGAGTTACCAAGAGCTGGTCTCGACTTAAAGAAGCCCTATGTCATTTTCACTTTTTGCCTAATTTTGTTTCTCATGCCCATCATATCCTAAAAAGCCCCAGAGACAAGGATGCATATAGAAAGAAGGGAACTTGTCAGAACATATGGAGAACGGCCATCACATCCTACGTAGACACAATTAATGCCTTCTTCTTCTAGGATGGTTTTCGGATTCTACCAATGATTTCCTAATGAACTATCTTATCAAATTAGAAACCAAACAGTTTTCTTTTTTCCCCCTCTTATCCTTTGATCCTGGCAAAATCCTAGGTTATTCCTCCTGATTTTACCTTTATTTTCACAAACTGGCTCTTTCATACGTTGGATGCCCTCAATTGTTTTGGTTTGTTCAGATGCTTTCCATCTCCCTTTTCCCCAGCATTTGCTACTTTTGAATGGTAGACAAATTACCCCCAAACTGTGGCTTAAGAGAGAGAAGAGCCTTGCTCTTCCTTCTGCAGATGCCCTAGGTCCATGATGGCGAACCTATGGCACGTGTGCCACAGGTGGCACACGGAGCCATATCTGTCGGCATGTGAGTGTTGCCCTAGCTCAGCTCCAGCAAACACGCGTGCGCCGGCCAGCTGATTTTTAGGCCTTCTGGGACCACTGAAAGTCGGGAAACAGTCCGTTTCTGGCCTCTGAAGGGACTCAGGGGAGTGGAGAGGCCGTTTTCGCCCTCCCCAGGCTCCAAGAAAGCCTCTGGAGCCTGGGGAGGCTGAAAAACGGGCTTCCAGGCCCACTGGAAGTCGGGAAAGGGGCTGCTTCCGGTCTCCGGAGGGCCTCCAGGCGGGTGGGGGAGGCCATTTTCACACTCCCCAGGCTCCAAGAAAGCCTCTGGAGCCTGGGAAGGGCAAAAAAATGGGCCTACCAGGCCCACTGGTGACCTCTTTGGTGTCGCATGCCAAAAGCAGGAGGAGCGCAGGGGGGTCACGCACGCATGCGTGGGGGGCATTGAATTATGGGTGTGAGCACGTGCACACGCAACCCCCCCCACACTCCCCACGCTTTTGGCACGCGACGGCAAAAAGGTTAGCCATCACTGCCCTAGGTAGTGCCAACTATGATCCCTAATTCATAGCATGGCAAGACATCTCTGCAAAAGCCATTTTCCTCCTTATGTGACCTCCTTATCCTGACTTTACCTGTTAAAATTCTCCTGGACAAGGTTCACATTTAGATACTGAAACTCATACTCCAAGAATTTCATTAAAGGCACGATGCACTAGAAGAGACAGAAAAAGATCCACAAAAATTAAGTGACAGGAAATAACATTTATCAGCTATGAAACTAAAGTATTACGTATGAAACTTTCAAGGAACACCGCACAAGAAATACAAAAGGCTCGCTGCAGGTGAATACAACATCACCAGCATAACATTTTAAGTTGATTATATGCTGATTACTGACCCAAATTCATTCTGGATGCCTTCAGAGCAAGATATTTATTGTGCAATTATTCTGTTATAAAAGTCTATAGAATTCTGTGGAAACTGCAAACAAATATTTTTAAACCATTTTTAAATGGTTGTAGTTTAGGACACTAACTGTTATTTAACTCATTTTCACAAAGTTATGTCAAATATAGGTTTCCCCAAGACCGGATTCTTATCAGTGCATTACCAGATTCTCCCCCATATCTAACCTGATTCAAAGCCGGGAAGATAAAAGAGGGAAAATATGGGATGTCTTAACAATAATAATATTTTACGGAGAGATAAAGAACAGAGAGTAACATTGAGTAACATATTGGTTACTGTTATGGCTTTTTGTGAATCGCCCCAAAATAGTTAACATACGTAGGAACAAACCAAGAGAAAAAAAGTGATATATACAGTATTTAGCGAGCAATTAAATACTCACCTTCTCTGGGTTATCAGAATCACTGCAAACAGACAGTTCTTGGATGTGTTGGGCAATTCTAGCATCCATCTGCCAAAAGAAGACCAACATATGTTTTTAAGGAGAAACACAATACTGTATAAATATTAAAAGTGCTAAGCCATTCATATCTACATCATTTCAGGCATTCCATATTGCATCAGAGATTTTTGTGGGAAAAATCTAAAGCTGGGCCATTCATATTTCACACTGTCCACACATTTAAACTCCTTGAACGTTTAAGATAGAAGATATGAGTTTTCTCTCTGTTCTGTCCAATGCCATTGTCACACATCACCTATACCATTACAAACAGAATTTCTTCTATAGAATCGAGTTTCATGTACAACAGGCTGGTGAATTCAGCAACTTGTATGAAGCATTCTAGTACAGATTGTCCTCGGATTACAATCGCAACTGAGGCCAAAATTTCTGTTGCTAAGCAAGATGGTTGTTAAGTGAGTTTTGTCCCATTTTGTGACTTTTTTTTGTCACAGTTGTTAAGCAAATCATTGCAGCTGTTCAGTGAATCATGCGGTGATTTGGTGAATCTGGCTTCCCCCATTGACTTTGCTTGTCTGAAGGCAGCTGGGAAAGTTACAAATGGAGATTGCATGACTCTGGGACACTGCAACTGTCATAAATATGTTTACTTTGATCATGTGAGCATGGGGATGCTGCAACAGTCATAAGTGTGATAAATGGTCATAAGTTATTTTTTTTGGCACCGTTGTAACTTCGAAAGGTCACTAAACAAATGGTTATAAGTCAAGGACTACCTGTAGTGTAAAGCCTAATGATCTGTAATGGGTAAAGGATGGAATGGGGTAAAATAGGAAAGGGCATCATTGGCTGATTGGCTTCTTGAACCTTTGGCATGCAGGCTAACAATGGCCAGCTCTGGCCAGTAAACCCTCCCCCCCCACTCCCAAATGAAGCAATCCTGCTGTTTTCTTTTTTACAAGTGCCTTTGGTTTTGGCATGGATGTTTTTCCCACGGTCTGTCATTCCAATAGCCCTGATCCCCACTTCTCAGAGGCATAAGAACTCAGTGAGTTTGGTCTTTGAAGAGCCAGAAGTTCCCTATATCAGTGGTCCCCAACCTTTTTATCGCCGCGGCCCGCTGAGCGCGCGCAGGGGTGGGGGCACGGCCCAGGAGCTTTTGCGCACGGCCCATTGCGCACGGCCCAGGAGCCTTTGCGCTGCAGCGTTCATGTCGCTGCGCGGCCCGGTGCCAGGTACTCCACGGCCCGGCACCGGTCCGCGGACCGGGGTTGGGGACCACTGCCCTATATGAAGCAGCCCAAACAAATGTGGGATGACAATTTGCCCCTGGAGTTTCGCCGTTCTAATAATGCTCCTCCCCTGTCCCTTTTCTGCTGCTGGAGGAAAAAAGGAAAACCAAGCCTGTAAGGTTACTTTGGTCGCTAGAGTCTTCACCACTCCTCGGATCTCATTGTTGAGGCAGGAAACACAAGCCTGAAGCTGTTGATGCAGCGTGTGCTGGATCTGCTCTGGGGTAATGACAGGTCCGGTGTTCTGTTCCAAGTATGCCCAATTCAGCTGTTTGGGCAACTTCAGGATCATCATCCGGAGCTGCTCAATGTTGTTCACTACAACACAGAGCTGGAAGATGGGAGGAAGGTAGAATCAAGTCAATCCTTGTGTTCAGCCTTGTTTCTTGTACCCAAAATCTGGCTCTTCCACTTACCCTGTTTGCTGCTTGTCCTGCCTCAGTTTGATTGGAAGACAATTCCTCTGCCCTTGCTTTGATCATCTGACAGTACATCTGAGCAATTTTACACGTGTCCTAAGAAGTCAGAAAAGAGAAAACTGTCACTGATCAGTCAATACTGTAGGTAGGCTTCGCTGCATCCTCCAAGGACACTTGATTGACTTTGATCCCTATAATCTATATATATAAAAGCCAAATACCACTCACTCATCACGAAACCTCCAGAACAGTAAAGCCTACAAACTTGAAATTTGGCACGTATGTTCCTCTTGGCTTCTAGGTGCTCACTAAGAAAGGATTTTTCGAAATGACCATCAGATCATTAGCATTTCATATACAGTATTATATTCACATGCTCTGATGCTAAGGTGTTAGATCAGTGGTGGGTTGCCCCCAGTTCGGACCGGTTCGCAAGAACCAGTAGTAAAACCAGTGGGAGGCTCCACCCACTGACCCAGACGTCATCATAGGTGATCTGCGCATGTGCAGAAGCTTCTGCACAAGTGCAGAAGAGTGCACGGGTGTGTGAGCAAAGAGTGCGTGCAGGGGCGCGATGCAAACCGGTAGTAAAGGTAAGTAGAACCCACCCCTGAGTTAGATGTTCTACTCTCCCTCCCCACCTGAAAAGAACTCTGTTCCAACTGCCAGTTGCCTTATATTAACATGCTCTGATGCTACCCCTTTGCTAAACCAGGTGTGGGCATGGCCAGCGCGTGACTCATCTGGCCTGCGGGCTGGGACATTCTACTCCCCCTCCTTTGTTCCAACTGCCAATTGCCATATATTAACACACTCTGATGCTACGGAGTTACACATTCTATATTAAGTTTCAGGCTGTGTCAATTTATCATGCCCGATCACATAGTTTTGTAGCAAAATACAGACGTCCAGCTAGTGTACAATATGGTCAAGCACAGCTGACTCTTCTGTAAGGAAGCATCAGTGATGATTGAGTTCAGAGGTTCTAATCTTCTAACACTGCAATTCCACCAGAGTCTTTTTTTTCTCTCTAAGAAAACAAATTTGCCTTTTGTTCTTCAGTGAAAAAGGGGGGGAAAAGTGAAGGACAAGTAACATAACTTTTTGTTGTTGCTTGATTGGCACATTCCCTGAATATATTAAGAGTCTTTAATTAAACGTAATTCCCATTATCTCATCCCTGTGCAATACATAGTCCCTGGAAGGAAGACATATTACTAATATTTTAGAAGATTTTGAGCACAATCATAATATTCAGTAGAATAATACAATTTTTTGGAAGCACGGTAAAAGGCATATTAATGAGATCTGGGTTGCAAAACCAATTCTTCCTTCTTTCTAATATCTAATGGTCATGACCACTCTGCTGGCTTGTATGAAACAAAGAGAAATGAAGACAAGCGATTCTGTAAATAACTCAACTCTGTACCATGAAGAGTTTTGTAGGTAAAAAAAATACCCTTTGAAATGCACCCAGAAGCCTTTGTCAGAGCCAACATAACTCACAAAGTAGTGGTGTTACATGGTCATACTGAAGTACACCCATAACTACCTCTGCCATTGTATTCGGGAACGGCTGCAAATTCCAAGAAGTTTTCTAAAGCAAACCTATGAATAGCATACGGCAGTAATTTGGAGAAGATATGCCTAAGTAATCATGAACTTAGTGGAGTAAGTAACTATGTAAGTGTAAGTGACCATGAATTTACACTGGTCACTTGTAAATTGTAAGTGTAAATGACCAGTGTAAGTGACCATGAACAAGGCCTCCCAATCCAAGAAGAGGTGCAATTCTCACACAAATTGGATTTCTGCAAAGGTACTCCTAATCACAGATTTAATCTGTTCTTCAGATACGTTGAGTCCAGAAATTGTTCCAATTGCAGCCAATTCTACTCCATCCAGAAATAATGATGGCAAGTACCCAAATCACAGGAGCTCTGATTTTTACACTGAATTTTCTTTAAACCATTGTAGACTTAATAAAAAGTGGAACAGAAGTGACTTCTGGCACAGATTAAAATGATCTGAGCTTCCTTATTCTACACATACCTCAACAAATTTCACCATGATCATAAAGGCCTCCTCAGGATCAGGCCAATCCAGCTGTTGCCATGTCTTCATCATCTGAGCATAACAAGTGGATAGGTCCACAATGGATGTACTGTGTTTATTCAATTCTCCCAGTGGTGTCAACTGAATAGAAATGAAACCAGAGAAAGGGAGCAACATCAGATTATTAGTCAGAATGTAATCTGAAATGTTACAGGATGAGCTTTTGACTTCGGTTGGAGTTTTTTGGACTCTGAATATCCTAGACAGACAATGGGATTTTAACACTTGAATTTCCCTTCTTCCAATTACTTGACCCAGAACATCGTATCTTAAATTTGATCAGTACATGGAGCAATCAGAATTTTGGGGTATTTTGTTTTGTTTTTAGAAATGTCACATAGCAATTCTGCACGGAGATGCCTGAAAAGGTAACATCTCTGCTGCAAAGGCCTCCAGTATGCTCATGGGAAAAGCATTCTGGGATCTAGGGATATGCCTACAGTATTTTCATTAGTAGTAAGAACTTCAAAAATGGTGGTGTGGAAGTCTCTTGGAGGCAGTTGTAAATCCCAAAGCCAGTACCATTTGTTTTCTTCTCAGTGGATTTCAATGGGAGGAAAAAGGACAAGAAAATAAATTTTCTAGACATTCTAGAAAATGTTGAAGACCATTTCTGGCTCCTTGTCTCTTTCTATTTTGTATATCTTGCACTGCCCATTGTTAAAGTTGCGTATTTTGTCTTTTTCCCAGCATCTTAAGATTTCTCTTTGCACTTTTTTACCTCCCGTTAATATATACTATATTAAACAACATGCCATCTTTTCTGTTGTCATTTGAGAAACCTCAAGGTAAAAGAGCAAAAGAATAGAAACAATAACTGACAATTATCTGAGTTGAACAATATTCTTTAAAAATATCTCATTAGAATGAACATCAATTTGCTTAACTAAAATAGCCTTGTGTCTTTATCTGAACAACACAGGCATCATGAAAGCATTATAACATTATTAGCTTGTGCCACCTATGTGAACACAGCAACTAGTTGAAAGGATCTGATATATAAGCTCAATGAATCTTACATGGATCTGATGTAAGCTCAAATTGCTGAATTCACTGCTGGATAATTACTCTGATTCAGATAATTCCATAACTACCAACCACAGGTGTCAGATTGGATTAAGATATTTTAGCAAATCATTCATATTAAGATATCTGCTTATCTGCAAAAATCATACACACAATGTAATTCACAACTTTCATTTGTTAATCCACAGACAGAAGTATCAGGGGATGCTATGAAGGTGCTACATAATATACACCAACGATTAAATGTATGAAGGCAGAAAAACCTTATCCAAAAAAAAAACAATTGAGCAATGCTTTCCTTTCCGGGGGGGATTACCTGGTCCACTTGGATGGCTCTTTGGGTCCTTTCTAGAGCTATTGTGTAGGTCTTCTGTAGCCACAAGGGGATGGCTTCTTTAAACCATAGGTGGAAACCGGTCAATGCAAGAGGGGTATCCCTGGAAATAGGAAACAGAAGTGATCTGCATCTCATGAGAAACAGGTCTTCCTTATTTCCCAAACATTCAACTTAGTTTTTCTCTAGAGGATATTTTTGTTGTGGTGACCAGTCACAAACTTGTCTCAACAAACCCTCATTGGTTATAAACAGTCAGCAATTCATCTACAGAAGAGTTCACACAACATGCTAAACATTTTCTTGTTTAACAGTATTCTACCAAATGAATCATAATTAGCAGGGATGGGTTGTACTTACCATTACTACCGGTTTGCAATGGGAGCGCGCGCTTGCGCTTCTGCACATGTGCAGAAGCTTCTGCACATGCACAGATCACCTGTGATGAAGTTGTGGCAGGTGGACGGAGCTTCCCACCAGTTTTACTACTGGTTCTATAGAACCAGACTGAACCAGAAGCAACCCACCACTGATAATTAGGCTATACAGCACACTACGCTTAAACAGGACTTGCAAATCACGCTAACTCAAACCCAAACAAATACCAATTTGTCAGTGAAGCATGCAAACCGGGCCACAGTTTTGGCACTGAGTTTTCAATGATAACAATACATTATAAGAGTAATCTCAAAACAACAACCACAATGTATAAAACAGCCTAAAAAGACTGAAGGCAAAGTGTTGTCCTCTGCAGAGATAAACACCTGCTGCACACAAAATCCTTCATGCGATAGAAGTCCTTCATGCTGAGATAAAGTTGGAATAGGCTCTCGGCTGTTAATTGGGACATGCCACTGTCAATCTTGCTCAGCTGTTCTTGGACATAAAAAGAAACCTGCAGGGGCATAAAAAAGGTACAATGGATCAGGTTTTTGGGTTGAGACACTGCAACTGAATCAGAAAGATCCCACTAGTTGACCCTGAGTAGAAATCTGCAAAAACTGGCTCAGGAAATAGCTTCGTCAACAAAGTGAAACTGAGGAATCCTCACCACTGATTAGAGTAGCTAATTCAAAGACAAATCCCTGTTTTCCTCCTCACTCTGGGTGTACACCAGATCAGGGGTGAAATGCTCCCGGTTCGGACCGGATCGGGCAATCCGGTAGCGATTGTGGCAGGTAGTTCAGAGAACCAGTAGTGATAGCGGCGTGAGGCTCCGCCCACCCACCCAGGTGTCATTACTTCCTGCTTTTAAAAGGTAAAAAAAAAGGCTCTGATGATCGCGTGCCATAGCTGTGATCATCAGAGCCTTTTTTTTACCTTTTAAAAGCATTTTTTAACAACCTATTCACCTGAATTTTTTACAACCTATTCGGGCGAATAGGTTGTAAAAAAATGCTTTTAAAAGATAAAAAAAGGCTGTGACAATCACAGCTGTGGTGCACGATCGTCAGAGCCTTTTTTTTACTTTTTAAAAGCATTTTTTTACAACCTATTTGCCTGAATAGGTTGTAAAAAAATGCTTTAAATAAGTACCAAAAAAAAGTTGCCCACGCCCACCCAGTCACATTACCCCCCACCACCACCAAGCCACGCCCACAGAACCGGTAGTAACAAATTTTACATTTCACCACTGCTCCAGATATACTGTATATAGACTTAGCTTCTAGAAGTCTCCAGCCAATATAACCTTTGCTAAGCATTCTGTAAGTCTGCCACATCTGGACGGCATCACTATTGGAGAAAGCTGCCTTAGAAATTCTGAAGTAATTGGCTTATTCGTCCACTAGCCATTTCCCCCAGTATCTACTGCCTTGGTGCTGGATATAAACCTGAGGTCCCTTTTGATACAAAGCAGAGAAACAGCTACTCACCAGTTCCTGCATTTTAAGATATGCAATTGAGAAAAGATCTAGTCTCATGGTGCTGTATTGGAGGAAGGAGAAAGGAGAAAGACACAATCAGAAATTTTCTCATGGGTTTTCTCTGCTAGGTTTATCATTATGTATTAAAGCTAATAGCACTAATTTAAATGATGCATCCACATACAACAGATCAGTAACTATAACAGCCCAGAGGCAACCAAGAACCAGCATTCTCAGTATTGTTAGCTGAATTCTCATAATTGGCAACAAGACAACTGGGAAGTTGAAATTTTGACTTGCTGACAAGCCTACTTGGGAGGATAAAAAGAGGCCTAGAGGTTTATCTTCTCAATGCCAGCATTAAAATAATCCACCCATAAAAAAATAGTTGCTGAGCAGGGAAATAGAGTGACAAAAGTCTCTAAACAACCACAAGAAAATTATTAGTACAGTAAATACTGCACAGAGGTCTGACCTAACCAGTTTTATTATCTTTTTCTTTCTTTAAGCCACCAGGCACGACATGTATTAAAATGTGCATTTATTTAACTGAAATACACAACATCCAAATCCTCTGGGAAGAAAACCATATCATTAGAGTGGAATTTCGTACTTGCTAAACTTGTTGTCCTATCACTTTTGTGATCTGGGCTCAGCCATTCACTTTGGTAGCAAGTCTCTGTGGCCTTAGAAGCTACCTAAACATTTGAAGAAGCAGTTTGTGACCAATTGGCCAAAGCTGGGAAAGAAGGAAAAAATTCCTTCAGAGACTTGCCTGATGAAATATTTGTTCCAGGTTTTGTGACACTCCCGGAGATCTTTATTCACCTCCAGAAGAAGACAGACTAGAGCTTTGCCACATTCCTCCATTGTCTACGGATAGAAAAAAGAGAAACAGAGGTAGAGATCTAGCATGAGCTTTGTTTCTCCCCAAAATCAAGATACTTTCAGACTCATGAACTTCTAGATTTCCACACTATTTCTCCAGGGTAAGAGGCTGTTTCACTCTTCTGCCACTTGTTGCTATGTTGCCATTGCTCAGTGGTAGTTCTTGGTGTTAGAGAAGTTGGTTTAATTTACTCAGTGGTGTCCTGAGCAGTACAAACGGATATTCCATGTTACAGAAGGGCCTGGTCCAAAAGTGGAGTTCTCAGTTTCAGCTGACATCATTCTGACATAATTTCAAACTTCATGTTCTGAGGAAAGTAGGAAGAGCAAGTATACTAAAAGCTATCAGGAGGTTTAAATGGCAAGGGACAGTGGTGATTAGAGACTAATTACCTGGGTCTTCTTCTAATTAAGTGAACAAGAAATGCTATTGTGGGACCTCAGCCAAGTTTTTCTCTGTTGTTGACATTAGGAATTATACGCTATTCCATATATAAGGGACTGATAGTCTAAATTTTTAATTCTTTTGTAATACAGTGTTGTAAAATAAAGCTTCTATCATTTACTTTGCAGAGTTGCTTTTCAACCAACTGTTAAAACAGCTATGGTTTTTTCTCCCCTTTTTGTGAGAACATAGCATCCCTGATGCTAAGTATGCTTCATAGTTGTAGGAAAGTTCTATACAGTTGCATGCTCATGATAACATGTGCTCACGTGCATTTCAGTGGTGGGTTTCAAATTTTTTTACTACCGGTTCTGTGGGTGTGGCTTGGTGGGCATGGCTTGGTGGGCGTGGCAGGGGAAGGATACTGTAAAATCTCCATTCCTTCCCCAATCCAGGGGAAGGTTACTGCAAAATCCCCATTTCCTCCTGATCAGCTGGGACTTGGGAGGCAGAGAATAGATGGGGGTGGGGCCGGTTCTCCGAACTACTACTACCGGTTCTCCGAACTACTCAAAATTTCTGCTACCAGTTCTCCAGAACTGGTGAGAACCTGCTGAAACCCACCTCTGGTGCATTTATGAGGGGAACACAAGTACCAGTTACGTCCTGATTTTGACAAACTTAATTCCTTATCTAAAGTCAAACTACAGCAGCCATATCTGTGTATTTGGGAGGAAAATGTTGTTGTAGTCTTTATCCAAAATTGTTGTACAGATTAATACAATAGATTGCACAGATACAAAATATAATTCAGGAGCATTTTTATCCTGGCTGGGCTAGCAGATGTTTTGAAAATGCTAATGATATGCCCTTCTATAATCAATAGGAAACACAATTCAACAACCACCAGAAGATTCTAACATAAACTTTACTAGAGAGTAACATACCTTTACCATTGGCTTCAAGTGCTGCTTCTTCATGTAAAACCACTCTGCTGTTCCAGTCTAAGAAAATAGGCAAGAAAATAAGTTACACAATAGCCTTCCCTATGCTTCTGTGCATATTAAAACCTACATACACATTAAGGCAGACATTGGTCATATCTGTATATATATGGACTATATAATTTGGCAGAGGTCCAAGAGTAGAGGGTCTAAGATCACAGTTAGATCTTCAGACATTCTGTGAAACATAGTCTGTAGCTGAAGAAAAATAGAACTGTGCATTTCTCCATAAAGAGAACCATGTGTAAATCCAGGTGATGAATTTTGACAAGGAAACTAAACTAAAACTGTTTCTTTTTACCCGTCCCTTCAAGACTTCAAAAAGCACTAAAAACAAAACTGTAGGCCTGAGAAAAGACATCCCAAAGAGAACGAGATGGCTTTGTACCTTAAGTGCCTCCATTACCATTTCTTCAAGATCAGGAGTTGGAGTACAAAGTTCTTTGAAGGCTTTCATTTTACACATTTGGACCAAAACCCTGTGAAGATAAAAAATCATGGCTGAAATCCAAGGCAATTCATAGAAAAGTTTTGTTTCTCTTTTCCATGCAAAAGATGCCACCCCTTTTCTTTTAATCAGCCTCAAATGCAAAGATCCCGAATCCATTCACTGACAACTGTAGGGACAGCTGAGAAGAAAAAGACATCTAAAGACCCCAACATTTGTTGATAAATAGCATAGAACAATACTAAGAAATATTGGTGTCCCCCTATAAAGCAGCTTCCTATGTTCTTATTGACCCCAACATTGTTGTTCGATCCCTCTCTTTAGGATATATTATAAAGAGATCAAACAGAAGCCTGATTTCCAATGACATGGAGATCAGTATTTGTCAGCTCTTACAACATAGACCAAACTAAGAAACTAATGACATCTTGGCCAGGACTACTTTTATTGTAATAACTACTGTAACAGAAGAAGGGACACGGTGGCTCAGTAACTAAGATGCTGAGCTTGTCGATTGAAAGGTCGGCAGTTCAACGGTTCAAATCCCTAGTGCCACGTAATGGGGTGAGCTCCCGTTACTTGTCCCAGCTTCTGCCAACCTAGCACTACAAAAGCACATAAAAGCAAGTAGAAAAATAGGGACGATCTTTGGTTGGAAGGTAACAGCATTCCATGCGCCTTTGGCATTTAGTCATGCCGGCCACATGACCATGGAGACGTCTTCAGACAGCGCTGGCTCTTCAGCTTTGAAACGGAGATGAGCACCGCTCCCTAGAGTCGGGAACGACTAGCACATATGTGCGAGGGGAACCTTTACCTTTACCTTACAGTAACAGAATCTTGAAAGTCTGGCTGTAGTTCCTCCCTCCCTTACTTTATCTTTGTGTAAACTGGGATGGGTTTATCTGAGAGATTTTCTCAAGTTATTTTCCTCATCTGGGCTCAAGACTCTCTTATCTGACCATTGCCTGCCTGGTTGCAGTTCTTCTTTGGTTCTTCTTCCTGTCCTTCAAGACCATTCCTCTGCCCTCTAGTGACATCATTATAATAGGTCTCATTTTTTTTCTGTAGGAAACACTTTTAGGAAGTTCTGTGGAGAGATTTTTGCTCTGCTTCTTACGTGCTTTAGGCTTCTCTCTTTTCCTGATACGTTTTATGCTCAAGGAGAGATCAGGCTCTTTCTCTTTTCATCTTCTAGTCTCACAGAACTGACAGAACTGTCAAACACATATTTTAAAGTGGTTCTTGGAAGACAGGGATCACCAAACCTGACCTTGATTCAGACAAGACAGGGGTACCATTCGTTGGGAAGACTGCTAATATGACTGGAGGTTTAGAATTGAACTTGCATAGAATACCAAAATCCAGACAAATAAGACTGATGCTTTTTTTGTTTCATGTTTGCTTTCTGTTCACTTTTTCCATTAATATAATAAAAAAAGAAAAAATAAATAGTACCTGCAGGGGTCTTGACAGGTGCCAAGGGATAAATATATTTCTGTCTCTTGGTGCTATTTGGGTGAATCATGGCATAAACTACAAGCTTTGGTTCATGAAAGCTTCTATCATAATAAGTACATTAGGCTTACAAATTCTTAGGTGTTATGTGAAGGAAATATGGGATCAATATATTGAATGATTCATGATTTAAGGTAAAGGTAAAGGTTCCCCTCACACATATGTGCTAGTTGATCCCGACTCTAGGGGGAGGGGCTCATCTCCATTTATAAGCCGAAGAGCCAGCGCTGTCCATGTGGCCAGCATGACTAAACGCCAAAGGCTCATGAAACGCTTTTACCTTCCCACCAAAGGTGGTCCCTATTTTTCTACTTGCATTTTTTACATGCTTTCAAACTGCTAGGTTGGCAGAAACTGGGACAAGTAACGGGAACTCACCCCGTTACGCAGCACTAGGGATTCAAACTTTCCACTTAATTAAACAGTAATGCTACTGAGAGAATATCCATGCTTGAAAAATGTTGGTAGTTTTCCTTCTGATTATGTGCATCCCAGAAGGTTTCTGATAGCTCACCTGAGCAGTGACTGCAGCCTATGTGTAGATTTGGGTGAGGAGAGTGGAAAGACGATCCGGAACCTTTGAAGAAGAGAAATCCCATAGTTCAGTAAGGACTGGAAAGAGTCTGCCAATTCAGCTGTCTGCAGGAAGTAATCAACATGCCATAGATGTAAGAAGACTTAGTCCTATTCGGTAATATCTAGATCATTTCAAGATCATGATATACTAACATTATGCTAAAAGAGATGTATTTCAATGCACTTTATTGGATAGGCATTGTAAAACTATAAGGTAACATAAAGGTAAAGGTTCCCCTCACACATATGTGTTAGTCGTTCCTGACTCTAGGGGGCGGTGCTCATCTCCATTTCAAAGCCAAAGAGTCAGCACTGTCCGAAGACATATCTGTAGTCATGTGGCTGGCATGACTAAATACCAAAGGAGCACAGAACGCTGTTAGCTTCCCACCAAAGGTGGTCCCTATTTTTCTACTTGCATTTTTTACGTGCTTTCAAATTGCTAGGTTGGCAGAAGCTGGGACAAGTAACGGGAGCTCACCCCGCTACACGGCACTAGGGATTCAAACTGCTGAACTGCTGACCTTTCAACGACAAGGTCAGCATCTTAGCTACTGAGCCACCGCATCCCTTATTTAGTAAAACCATACAACCCACCTAATGGATAAATGTCTGATGTTGGAACCAAAGATGTCTTTAGCTGGACCAGAATGTTCCAACAGCCTTATAGTTCCAGAGCTTTCTTACCTGCTCAGATCGTAATCGGCCTTGAATCCACTGATACTCTATGCTGGTAATCTGATGGAGCAGGCAGCTGCTGTTGAACTCCAAGTACTGATACAGCTTGCTGTAAGCCAGCCAGTTCCTATGTTAACAAGGGAAGGAAAGCAGCATTAAACGCCATAAGAAAAACCTGCAAAAAGTACAATTAGAAACAAACAAAAAAAACCCCTCATATTAAGTGACCTAAACAAACTATTCTGCTTAAAAAAATAAAGGGAACACAAGCAGAAGACATCCGAGATCTGAATGAATGAAATAGCCTTATTAAATACTTTGTTCTTTACATACAGTAGTTTATACACTGCTCAAACAACTAAAGGAAACACAAAACTATTGTATGTAACGAACAAAGGCTATTTCATTCATTCATTTCGGATGTCTTCTGCTTGTGTTCCCTTTATTTTTTTGAGCAATGTATATAGATTAGGTATGTAGTCAAATTGTCTGTTTTGCCAGTTTGCTGGGAAACTGATTGAAAGAGAAGTTAAAAACAGCAGAAATTGTAGCATGCAGTTCTTGGCAAAGTCCACTGCAGGAATCACATTCAATTGGCAGGATGTAGTAATGAATCAAGAAAATCCCAGTTGAAAAAGAAAAGTCAAAATTATTGAATTCATGAATGGAATTCTAGGGATAGTACTAAACCCTTGTCTCATGGCATGCCTGCACTTTTTAATAAAATTACAACACTCTCAGGCAATAGAAAAGAACCTTCACAACGTTTTTTTAAAGAGAGGGACAGAAAATGCAGGAGCTTTTAGTTTTCAGAAGGTTGCCTTGAGCGGAAGCATGCAGGAGATATTTACGCCAAGTCTTGGTGGAAATCTGAAATGTCTTTCTGAGTTGCGTGTAGATACAGGATAGTACCGGCATGCTTGCTTAACTCTCCATCCCAGGAAGTGCTGCCAGCCTGCAGAGAAAGAGAACAATGAATGGCTCTCTATGATATCAGATGGGGAAAAATGCAGCATATCCATTGCTTCACAGTTTTGCAAATAACAATTGCCTGTATTATGTTCAGGTCTTTCTTTCTTCTGAAACTTAGTTCAATGCAATTCCCATTTACCTAGCATTTTTAATTGGCTAAAGAGTTAATGGCTCCACTTCAGCTTGAGGAAATTATCAAGTGGAGGAAATTGAGGGATGCTGATCAAGTTTTCAGATGATAGATAGCTGGGAGGAGTGACTGATATTTTAGTGGAAAGGGAGAACATTCAGTACTATAGGATATGGATAGGCTAGTATAGTAGGCAGAAATAAATGGAATGCAACTTAAGAGGTAGACATGTAAAATCTGGCATCTCTGCAGGAAGAAAGACACAGGCATAGGATAGGAGAGAACTGGATTGGTAGCATTACAGTTAAATATGAGCCAGCAATTTGAGGCAACTGCTATGCGGGGTATGTTAAAAGGAGAATGGGTGTGAGCTTATAGGATGTAATTCACCCTACACCGATTCCACTTGGAATAATGTGCCCAATTCTCTGCACCAAAAAGGATAGTAACTAAGAGGAGTAAGTTCAGAGGACAGTGACTCAAATGCTGAAGGGTATAGAACCAAGCCCTATGAGGTCACATAAAGGATCAGAATATATTTAGCCTACAGAAAAGATAACTAAGGGGGAGTTATGACAGGAATCACCTGTTGTCCCAAGAAAAGGGAGTAAACTTATTTTTCCCCAAGGGGCAGGTCCAGAACAAGGATCTGGGTGTAAATTAGCACACAGAAGAAACCCCTTAAATGATACATGAAAGTATTTTCAAATAACTTAAGAATTGACACAGTAGAAGTGGCTTTATTTTCCTACTGCCCCAGAAAACAGGACTAGAACCAACAAGTTAAAACTACAAGGGAAGTAGATTCAAGTTAAATGTCTGTTGGAATGAGTTTTCAGTTAGCGGAACAGACTGCCACATGAAATGAAGAATTCTCATTTCTGAAGGCCTTCTTACAAAGGGTAGGTGGCCATCTGTTAGAAATGTTCTAGTAGAACTTGCATTGAGCAGTATGTTGGACTAGATAGCTTTTAAGATACCTTCCAACTCAGAATCTACAGTCCCAAAAATAGTAGAGCAACTAATAGATGCCTCTCTGCATTAAAAACAATTTAATCACTCTCAAGAAAGCAATTTGGATTCAAATAGGAAAGATCTATCATGCCATTCCAAGACTGTAGGAATCTGTTTTGCAATTGGTCATCCATGGAACACATACAATTTCATCACCTCAGAGTAAAGTTTCTTTTAGATGTATGAATCAGTTTACAGCCCTGAAATTTTGCCATTAATCTTCTGAGATTTCAACTGGGGACAGAGCTTGTGCTTCAAACCAAATTTGTATCTTGACTTCAGAGAAGAGTTGAAAAGAGCAAACAAGTCAGCTGAACTGACTGCAATATGAAATCCATTTGTTTTCCAGAGAACAACTGAATATATGTCACTCTGTCATAATCCACTTATCAGTTTGTTTATCTATTTACCTGGTATTGAAGAATCTCATATGAAACAATCTGCTGAAGAAGTTGCCGATGAACTTTGTAACTTGTCAGTGTCTTGCTGGCTGAAGTAGCTCTCTAAAATAACAAATATAAACAAATATAAATATAAAGAAACCCAAAATATTAACTATACACACATACATACCCGTGAAAACTTACATAAACATATATATATATGTATATATATACTGTTCCAGCTTTCAGAAGATATTAGAATTTCTGCCAACAGGTTTCATTCTTACATATGTGTCCATATTCACAATTATAAAAATGATAAAAATATCATTGAACATTTAAGCATGCTATACGTTCTTGATGTATTAGTGTAAGATTTATTATAATTATCTTTTTTACAAAACATAGGCTAAAGCAGGATACAAATCCATAAGTCAACCTTGCATCCATACAGTTTTAATATGCTCTTAAAGTCATAAAATGTAAATCACAACATCAATTTAGAATATCTGATGGTCTTCTACCTTTGTGAAGAAGGGAGAAAGACCTTCTTCCCACCCAGATCACCACAAGAGAAAAAGATCTCAGTGATAGGACAGCCTTGTCTTAAACATTGGCAGCAACTATATTGAACGTGTCTTAAAAGGTTAAATGAATCAAAACTGCTTAAATCAGAATTTATAAAGTACACTTCCTTGACTCAATGGGAAATTGATTTCTCTTATGATCCCTACCTTCTTATGTACCAAAAAAAACTGCAGGTGGCAATGCCCTCGGTTGGGGTAAGTATCAGTGCGAGGTTCCAGCCTGTACCAGCGATCCTCCCGACAATGCAGGTCCTACACAAGCGAGGTGAAAAGTCTTAGCTCAGAAGTAATGAACCACATTACTTCTTGAAAGTGCCGGTTCTCCATTCCTACTACATTTCCAGGAAATGGCTCTACTTTCATCATAGAAATGCGGTGTCTCAATTAATTGAGAAATTGGGCAAACAAGAGAAAGTACACAAATGGATCCACCTATCTTAAATTAAATTTCAGGGCAATAATTAATGGCTTCATGGCAGGGGTGAAATCTACTTACCTTCCCTATTGGTTTGCAAGTGCATGCGCCGCGCATGCGATTTTGGACCCTCTGCGAATGCGCAAAGCCTTCTGTGCATGTACAGAGGGTAAACAACAGGTTACTTCCTGGTTAAAACCAGGAAGTAACGACGTCCAGGTGGGTGGGTGGAGCCTCGCGCTGCCATCGCTACTGGTTCTCCGAACCACCCGCCGCCGCTATCGATTCGCTTGAACCGGTATAAAACCAGTAGCATTTCACCCCTGCTTCACGGGAACATTTTTTTTTTTTTTTTGCTCTCAGTTATGCTAATGGTTGATTCATGAGAACAGACCCTGAGAAGGTTCTGCAGAAATCTTCCTTGGTGGCAAGAATACACTTGAGGTTTCCACCCACCCAAATTTATTGCACTCCAGATATATTGAACGAACTCCAGAATTCTGATGCTAGCTGGGAACTGTGGGACCTGGAATCCAAGATATTTGTATGGCAACTGGCTAGGAAAGAGCAATATGTTCTTGAATTAGTTTGTAGCTGGCATAGCTACCGATCTTTATAGGGCTAGTCAAGTTCTCATAAACCCTGGCCTTCTACTCAGAGACCACAGTAGAAATTCATGCTGAGGCCTGCAAAATATGCCTCTTTATTATTTTTCTGATTATTCCAGCAAAATCTATAGTTCTCTTACAGCATTTTCATTAGGTCTAGTGTTTGAAAAGGGAGTCTCAGATTTATTTAGAGTAAGGTGACATATTCTGCTACCAAGTTCTTTCATAATCACATACAGTAAAAGGTTCACTTGAACTTTCAGTTAACCTTTTTAATTTAATGGCATTTATGTTGCTGTCTAAGTGAAGAAGATAGACCACACAGTAAAAAAAAGACTTATCTGCCCAAGATCAAGGTGTGTGTGTGTGTGTGTGTGTGTGTGTGTGTGTGAGAGAGAGAGAAGAGAGAGAGAGAGAGAGAGAGAGAGAGAGAGAGAGAGAGAGAGAGAGAGAGAGAGAGAGAGAGAGAGAGAGAGAGAGAGAGAGAGAGAGCGCATTATTCTGGCAAAATGCTATTCCCTTCCTTACCTGCAAATGAATGACCACATTCCCCAGGAAATCATCCTGTCCTTTATTTTTCCGAGCGTCCTTAATAATTCTGAGTAGGCAAAAGCAAAACAAGGACAAAGATGAGAGAACATTTCTCATGTACCAAAGAGAAAAAGAATGTGCTGCCTAATTTAAATATTTTGTTTAGTTTTATCAGCTGAATTATGTAATTAATAGAATTTCATATACAAAAGGCTCATAATTAGCCCAAACCTCTTCAGGCCACGAAGGTCACTCAGTTCTTCCAGTTTGTGCCGTACAGGTTCAACAGCATCAAAATCCCTAGGAGGAAGCAAATAAAAATATGCCTTGATGCTTCTTTTCAAGACCTCCAGGAAACAGAAAGAAAAGGAATCAAAGCAAAAGAGCAATTGATTGATTGATTGATTGATTGATTGATTGATTTTCTATTTATTTATTTGTCAAGCATGTATAAGATAACATATATAAGTATAAACATGATTATGAATACAGGAAATGGGTACAAATAAATGGGGACAGTAGGACAGGGATGGTAGGCACATTGGTGTGCTTATGCACGCCCCTTACAGACCTCTTAGGAATGGGGTGAGGTCAACAGTAGACAGTCTAAGGTTAAAGTTATATCTTATTTTGCTTACTTAGGGGCAGTTCCAACCCCCTCAGATGTTTGAAGGTGAACAATTTGCGGCCCATAATTCCCTGCCCCTTTTTGAAGCCCTTAGATCATCTTCTGAGTAATTTTTGAAAACCGACAGCACAGTTCTTTGATATTTTCAGATGGGAAACAAACTATAGTTGACATAACAGAAAAATAAAAAGAGCCCCCCTCCTTCACAACCGTTGCTCCACTTATCTCTGGGATGGCCTCACTCACTTTGTGGCCATTAGCCTCCAGGAATATTAAATGTTCATCTAGGCACAAAAGTAGTTCCCTTAAGAATTTCCTTGTTTTAGTCGTAGCATGAAAGAAATATAGTGCCAAGTTCCACTTAGAAAAGGATTTATTCATATTAAGCATATATTTTTGGGGGGAGATGATAGACAGTTGTAGGGAGCTACAGTGTTGTCACTGCGATCTGAAAACTATGTTTATATATTTTTATGTTGTACAAATCATTAAACAAGCTGAGGAAAGAATGCAGAGCCTGGCTGCTAGAATCCTTTACAAACCCTTCACCAGCTGTGGCCATAGGCTTGTGGGCGCACACATGCACTGGAAAGCAAGTCAGGCTGCATATTCTCTGGTCATTCCTAAGTGACCTGCTTCTACGCCCTCATTATGTTGGACAGTGTTTGCCTAATGAATCTATCTCCTTTCTGACTTCCTTTGGAACACTGGTTCTCAAATTTTAATGAGATACAATGAAATTCAGTAGGAATGAAGAGCCAGTTCTGCTTACCACATATCTAGCTGGAATTCGGCATTTTCTACATCTTCAAACTCCCTGGAAGAAACCATTAAAAAAACATAACTAATGCAAGGGAACATTGGAGTGAGAAGGTGGACCCAATCCCCTTGCCTGCATGGAGAGGTAAGATGGAGCAAGACCAGGGGTGAAATCCAAAATTTTTCCCTACCAGTTCTGTGGGTGTAGCTTGGTGGGCGTGGCAGGGGAAGGATACTGCAAAATCTCCATTCCCATCCCACTCCAGGGGAAGGATACTGCAAAATGTCCTTTCCCTCCCCACTCCTGGAGGAAGGATATTGCAAAATCATCTTTCCTTCCCCTCCTGAGGGAAGGATACTGCAAAATTTCCATTCCCACCCCACTCTGAGGCCAGCTAGAGATGGTATTTGCCGGTTCTCTGAACTACTCAAAATTTCCACCACCGGTTCGCCAGAACCTGTTAGAACTTGCTGATTTCACCCCTGAACTAGACCCACTCACTCTCAGATGCCAGCAGGAACAATTATCCATTCACTGAGCCAATGTAAAAGGACTACATCTGCATACAGATGTATATCAGGATCCTTTTCTGCTAAGTAATAAGAAAAATAGATTTGGGTGGAACTAGTTGATGAATAGGCATATAGAGATGGCGGTCAACAACTATGAACTTAATTGTATGTACAAAGAATGAATGAGAAGCATGTATACAGTCCACCATTCCCCTCCATAGCTAATGACAGAAATAAAAGATTAGACAATGGAGCAGCTGGACTTAAAAAACAAACATACAAAACCTCCCCAAACTACGTTTTCTAGAGATACCTCAAATTGTGACCCCCCCAGAAAGTGGAGCTATTATCCAATTCACCTGGAGCAATATTTTTTAACCATGGCAGCTTTAAGATACAGGGACTTCAACTCTCAGAATTTCCCAGTCAGCATGGGGAAGTTAAAGTTGCCAAGATTACAAAACACTGATCCAAAGGCTCTCAGGCCATCCTATATTACAAGTTTAAAATCAATGGCTATTGTACAGGAAGAGGTCTAGCGGTGTGATTACACCTTTCCAATATCTCTACTGTAACCCACCAAATCCTCTCTTCTCTCAGGCCTTGGCGGTAAAGAAAACTATCATATGTTATTTGCCTTATGGTAAACTCTTCCTGGGTCTTCAGCTTCAAACTGTTCATCTCTCTAAGCTATTTTCTCTCCCAGCCAAGAGCTTTTCCTGGATATAGTATTACATTTTCTAGAATATGAGCTAGCTTGCTGAAAACCATCATTTTCTAGCCCTAAAATTATCTTTGATTTTCTAATAAGTCCAATATTCCATTAAAGGCCAACGCAAATTAAATATGCTAAAGAGATGAGACGTACAGAATGAAGGTTTCGTCCCACACTGGATTTAATGTCTGATGGATGACTTGTGTGCGATGGGTCTGGTCCTCTGGCAGCAGGTTCTTCACCACACCCTTAGATCGCCTTTTGTTCTCCTGACGAGGAGAAGCATGGGGTAAAGAACTCTGTTTTTTTCTTTCTATCCCTAGGAGGCAGTATGGATCACTTAATCCTGAAAGCAAAGAAGGAGTTTTAAAAAGTGCAGGGGTTGTGGACTATGATAAGGTTTCATAACAAGTAGCAGAATTATGGCAGGAAGTCCTCTAAACCAGGGGTCTCCAACCTTGGCAACTTTAAGATTTGTGGGCTTCAACTCTCAGAGTTGAAGTCCACAAGTTTTAAAGTTGCCAAGGTTGGAGACCCCTGCTCTAAACTTTTCTTTCCCCATTCCACTATTAATCATGATATTGTGCATGATCATTATTTTCCACTATCCCTGAAAATCCAAAAAATAATAATAATGTTGCATTATTTTTGCTTCATTCATTTTCCACCATCGATTAATCCACACCATTCAGGCGGCTTCTTTTATTTGAGGGATCATCATCTGTTTCCCCTTTCTTCTGATAATTACACTCCGCCTCCTCTAAATATTTCAGGCACCAAAAGATTGGCTTAACTACACTGTATGAACTAAGCTGTCATGATTTGCTCAGCAAAGTATGAACAAGGCCATCGTATGTTCAGGGATCACGATAATAATAATAATAATAATAATAATAATAATAATAATAATAATAATAATAATAATAATAATAATAATAATTTTATTTCTATACCGCCCTTCTCCCAAAGGACTCAGGAGAAACAAGCCAAGGTTTAAAGGGTATCAATCCAATCAAAGTGCTGTTTAGGATTAACATGAGGACTACAAGCAACCTTCCTCCAGACATGAAATTTCATATTCATTAGTGTTGTTTTAATGCATAATTTGAATAATTGCCATTTCCAAAGATTTTACTATAGCCCTAGTTTTGCACGGAATTAGAAAGTCTAATCAGTCAATTTATCTCTCTCTCTCTCCCTCCCTCTCTCCCTCTCTCCCTCATAAAGGTAAAGGTAAAGGTTCCCTTCCACATATGTGCTAGTTGTTCCCGACTCTAGAGGGCGGTGCTCATCTCCGTTTCAAAGCCAAAGAGCCAGCGCTGTCTGAAGACATCTCTGTGGTCATGTGACTGGCATGACTAAACACCAAAGGCACACGGAACGCTGTTACCTTCCCACCAAAGGTGGCCCCTGTTTTTCTACTTGATCTCCAAATTTCTGCATTTGAGCTGTGGTTTGTTTTTTGCACTTACCACTGACATCTTTACCCAAAATATTTCTGGCTTGCTTCACAGTGGCTTTAAGACAAAAAATTGGCTTCTGAAAAACAAAAGAAGATCATAACAAAAGGCCCTAGTTAGCAGGTGAACAGAATAACATCTGGGATGTCCAGGTTGATATAATTATTAAAATGGAAAAGGCTAACGATGATTAATAATAACATGAATCTTCAGATTAATCTGGAATATAAACAACAAAGCATGCTTGGAAACTCTTTTGCAACTAAATAAATAGAACAATTCCATAATAACAACCTACAAGTGAATGGAAAATTGGAGTTAGGTCTTACCGCTAGCTCTTTGACCCTCTGTAATATAATTTGATGTTCTTCTGGATCAATACTGAAGGCCTGATTTGGATATTAGAAAAGAAATTTTCAGAGTGAGAATTTGGTTTCAATAAAATAGGAAAGCCTTTAAAGTAAAAACAAACGACAATTGAATGAGTTTCTTTTAAGAAGGAATTAGGATTCTGTATCCTGAAGTCATATCTTCCTCATAATTTCAAACACCCTTGGTTTCCAGTCCATTCAGACCTTTGGCAAGAAGGCCAAAGACAGAGTGATTTGGGGTGGGTGGGGGGATTGGGGGGGAGAGGAAGACAGTGTGGGAGAAAAACAGAGGCAGGGTCCATCCTGCCTACCAACATAGTTACTATATTGCAGAAAGTAACTATTTGTCCCATTAGCATTTGGGAGGCTTAAGTGCAACCCCAAAGTCTTGGGGATGAATAATAAGATAGATGGATCTGGCTCTTTATCCCAACCTTTTGCACATATTCATAGAGCTCATCTGAATCAGTAACATGATTCTGTTCCACTTGGCCCACACGATGGAGAATGGTGTAAAGGACCTCTTCGTACAGCAGGGTGAGCTGCAACAATAATTCAACAAAAAATAAAAACAGATCAGAATCAAATCAGCGTAATTTGGCTTAGCAGGGTTGCAAACTATTTTACAGTTTGCAAATATTTTTTTACAGTTTAAAAGCAATACTGTTAAGGAATTTGCAGAGTAACCCTTGAATAGCAAGGGTGTGTACATGAAAGCGATTGAAAGTAGGTATGAATAAACACAGTCAACACACAGATACACTGAGTTGTGTACTTTCAGGAAATAGTAAGGCACAGTCCAATAAACAGTCCAGGCCATACATATATAAAGCAGGAGATACCAAAATGACAGTCCAGGGATAATCCAATAACAAAGTCTTCTTACCAGTCATCGTAGTCATTCACAATAAACAGTTCTTCTGGATTGCAAACAGTAGCATACAGAGATATCAGAGAGCAAGAACAGCAAAGAGAAACAAACCATGTTTCTAGCTCCCTCTTAAGGAGATTGGCTACAGAGCTAACCAATCAGGACACAGTATGATGCAATACAGCAGTCTTAAAGTTATATTGATGGTTTATATATGGCCAACTCAACAAGCTAGGTAATATTCATTTCCTAACATTCTCCCCTTTGGGTAGGACAATTTATAACACCTTACATTCTTAAACCATAGTTCTCACAACACGCTTTGTGCTTAACTGCACCCTGAGCCTTTGTGAAGTGATCTGCAATATTATGTTCAGTCATGCAGTACTCCAACTGAATCAATTTACTTTGTATACACTAACATTTAAATATCACAAATCAATATGTTAGACCGTGTTCTTACAGCTAAATTAGTAGCCATATTGATTGCAGATTGAATGTCTTTGTAAACTACAAATGGATCATTCACATTTAATCCCATATCCATTAACAATTGTTTATAACATACTGACATAAGTCAGTACACATCAAGGATAAACATGAAAACTCGGCTTCCATAGTTGACAAACTAATGTGCTTTTGCCTAATAGATTTCCATCCTATCAAAGCATTACCCAACATTACCACGATACCTGATGTTGATTTACGAGTAGGTAGATCAGTTGCAAAACTTGCATCAGCATATGCCATTAAAACTAGGTCACTACTAGGCTCCAAATATAACAAATAATAAATTGTTTGCTTCAGATACCTAAGTATTCACTTAGCAGCTTTCCAGTGCCTTTCACTAGGTTCAGCGTTATATCTAGCCAGTTGATTTACACTGTAAAATATATCTGGCCTAGACCAATTACTCAAATATGATAGACTGCCTATTAAGGATTGATATATTTTCTTATCAAATACAGGACTTTGAATATTACTATGTTTATTACTATGTCAAGACCCAGATAATACTTAATTTCTCCCAAATTCCTAATTCTGAATTTCTTTTGCAACACAGAAACAACTTTTTGCTTCATGTTCAGATTTAGTAATAAGTGCTATATCATCAGTGAATAGCAATAATAGAGAAACTAAACCATCTTTCTCTTTCTTAAACAAACATGGATCAGCTATACCAGCTACGAAACCTATAGCAACTAACTCATTGACAATGCATTTATTCCACTCGTAACCTGACTGCTTTAAGCCATAAAGATTTTCTTCAGTCTCCAGCAATCAGTCTTCCCATCAGTTTTCAAACCTAGTGGCTTCTTCATATAAATTGTATGTTGTAATGGTGCATGCAGATATGCAGTTTCAACATCTATATGGTTTATCCTGTATTTATTCTTAGTTGCACATACTAATGCTGCTCGCAATGTAGTCGCCCTCAGACTCGGTGCACACACTTCATCATAGTCCTTATTTGACTGAACAAATCCTTGAGCAACTAATCTTGCCTTATGGGTAACAGTCCCATCCACACCAGTTTTCAGTTTGTAAATCCACTTGCAACCAATTGCATGCTCACCTTGTGGTAGCCTAACGTTCTCATAAACATCTAACTCCTTCAATGATGTCAGCTCTTTGTCCATCGCTTTCTTCCCAGCTACCTGATCCTTTTCAGGATACAGTTTAATTTCATTGAAGTTAGAAGGCTCTATGTTCACCTGACATACTACACTGGCTTGATACCTATCAGGTGGACGTTTATCTCGAGTTGAACATCTAGGTAACTCAGGACTCGTTAGTGGTATTTCCGCTTCTACCTCCCCTATAACCTCCTCCTCCTTTACAGTAATAGAAGGTTCTACTTCAACTGTCTCATTATCAGGGGTATCAGTAAATATTTGAGTATCAACAACAACACTATTATTTACCTTGTCGGATTCTTGCTCAAGCTTACTCCAACCAACATGCTCCAGGAACTTGGCACTAGTACTGCAGTACACACTAGTGGTACCTGGCGCCCAAAATCTATATGACCTGTGGTTGGATTCATAACCAACAAAAAACAGCTTCTTTGCTCTGTTTCCCCTTTCGCCTCAATTGAGAGGGAATATGAACCCATGCTGGGGCTCCAAATGTGTGCAAATAACTGTTCTGTCCCCGTCTCCACACACACACAAACACAGCCAGCCAAGGGTTAAGAAAGCACTTGGCACACACACAGGTTGTTATCTAAAACTTGGCAGCTATACGAGCATCGACTGCCAAGGGCTTTACTTCATCAGATAAACAGAAAATACCTACAAATTGCAAATAGTCCAGTTCAAAACAAGGAACTTTCGGCAGATTTAGGCGTTGTTCAAGTGACTAGCCAGAGTTAGTTTTTGTTCGTCACAGAGTCTTAAACAGCCATCACACTCTCTTATATAGTCTCTGGGGTGTGGTCCAGTGACTCAGTTATAATCCCTGGCACGCCTCCTTAACTGCTGCAACCGTTTATCACGCCTTCGTTGGCGTGGATCCAGGAATGACAGATCACCTCCCTCACTCTCATCGGAGACACCTAGCTCCTGGCTAATCTCCTCTTCCTCGGCCGGCACTTGAGGCAGTGCCAGAGGGGAGGGGCCTGGAGAGGGAGGCCTGACCGACTCCTCTTCTTCATGTTCGGAGCCTTCTTCCTCCGATGAGATAGGCTCGGAGGGCGGGGCCACAACAATAACTTAATTCTGGTCTTCTTCCATGACAACGTGTGAATGGTAATTCACCAGTTGTTGAATTGACTACATTATTAAAGACATGGTTAGCACACATTACCTCACTCCAAAGTGCCTCAGGCAAACCAGAATCAGATATCATGGTTTGAGCAAAGCCTGCAATGTTTGCCCTCTGCGTTCAATATACACATTACATTGCGGTCTATAAGGGGCAGAACACTTGTGTTCAATGCCAGCTTTCTGTAACATAGTTACAAACCTGTTATTGGTAAACTCAGTACCATTGTCAGTTACCAGGCAAAGAACCTTGCGTTTCTTTTTCCTCTCAGCAAACCTCAGCCAGTTTGAAAAATGCTGGAATGTTTCTGCTTTGGTTTTCTTAAGGTAACAGAAACCATAACGGGAAAAATGGTCTATTATGCTCAATATATAACAGGCTCATCCTAAACTAGGTTTTTTAGGACCAATAATATCTGCAAACACTACCTCTAAAGGTTCATTGGTTGTAAACCCATTAATTCTGTTTGCAGGAGTTACCTTACTCTTTTCTTGGCTACAAGCATTGCAGTTTAAATATTTTTTACAAGGTTTTAGTTTTATCCCATCAGATAATTCTACAGTTTTCTTTAACATTTTAAAGTTTACATGTCCCAAACGCCTATGAAGCAAGTTAATGCATTCATCATGTGGCTTTGTGTTATTGTAAGCTGAATTAGCATTAGCCATGATTAATGGATCATCATTCAGAACAAACAAATAATTCTCTAACTTTGCAGTAACACTTGTACCATCTTTTTCTATCAGACATTTATCTCTCCTAAATGTTACTACAAACCCAGCTTTTAATAATGCTTTCACAGATAGCAGGTTAAATTTTAGTTTAGGTACATACAACATAGGTAAATGTTCATTTATACATGAACAATATGCAGTACCTTCTCCAAATACTTTCATTTTCCATCCATTTGCTAATGATACATGTTGTTTACTCTTGGTTATTTTAACAAACCTCTATGCCTAGTTATAGACTGCGATGCTCCACTGTCAATCCACAAATCATGGTTTACAGTTGTAGTTGAGCTGGATATAGCTAAACTAATATCCTTTTTAGCTCTCTGTTGACTACCAGTATTCAGTTTCTTGCCCTTTTTACAGAATCTAGCTATATGACCCTTAGCCCCACAAGAAAAACACTTTCTAATAGTATAGGCAGTTGGAGACAGGTTTTCTTCCTGTGCTTGTCTCTTTCTTGGTTGGTCTTTATCTTGCCTTCTTCTGGACTCTTCTAACAATCTTCCGGTTATGCCAGTCAATGTCAGTTCATCTCTGGTCAGGACTTCCAGTGAAGATACATAATCATCATAACTTTCATCCACAGAAGAAAGAATGGTATAAACCTGATGCAGCTCTGAAAAAACCAGCTCCTTTTCATGTAGCTCTTGTAAAGTTATTTTCATAAACTCCAAATGAGCTAACATATCTCCATTCTTCCGAAGACGAGCTCTAAACAGTTTACGTGTGAGGTGTGAGGTGTGCACTATCACGAACATAAATCCTCTTCAGAGTGTCCCAACACTTGGCTGCAGACTCCTCATCACAAATACGGACTAGCTGCTGGTCACTCAGTGTCAGTCCGATTATACAAAGAGCCCTTTCATTATCCCGGCTAAATTTGGCTATTTTCTTTGCATCTTCATTGTCTGCTGGATCCCAAACAGTTACATCTGGTGGATCATGAACTACAGCCCATAGTCCTTCCTTATGCAGAAGTAGACTGCACTTCATAGACCAGGAAACGTAGTTTGTTCCATCCAACCAGGTTATCAGAGATATGCTGGTTGACTGTTCTTGTGCCATCTTCACTTGGACAATAAACCACAAAAAACAGCAGTCTGAATATGTACTGTGTATTCACACTAATGCTCAGTATCCTGGGCCCATAACCCACAACCATAACCATAACTATAACCATAACCATACTGTAACCATAACCAAATACAAATTTAGAAAAAAGAAGGAAAGGAAGGAGATAAGTAAACAAGAAAAAAGATTAAAGAGACCATCTAAAAGCAGTGTCGGAGTGCAAGAGTGGGCTAGATGGACTAAAACAACAACATGCCAAAGTCCAGCAGAAATTTAAAGTATGCCTGATGGGTAAAAATATAACAGCCGCCTAAGGAAAGCTAGACTTCTCCTCAATTTGCCTTCTAAATTTTAATAATAGTCTGTGGCAAGATGGATGAAAAGTAGCTGATCAGAGTCTAATACACTTAGGTTAGGAAATGAAGTGGGGGGGAGAAGCAAGTGAAGTGTGCAAAGATGGGTAGATAGACTGGAAGAGGTTCTCTCTTCTATAGTTAACTATTTTATTTGCCGCTTTTTGACCGCTACTTCTTTTACTATCTTTTCCACATTAGGAAATCTTTCTGGAATCAAGGTGCTAGAAGACAACCTTTGGTATCTACTAGATCATTAATTGAATTACTAATACCATGTTTCCCTGAAAATAAGACCTCCCCCCAAAATAAACCCTCCCCTGAAAATAAGCCCTCCCTGAAAATATTTAAACACATGCACAGCCGGTCCCCACCATTTCCTCTGGTTAGGGTTAGGGAGACAGAGCTGGAAACCAGGTAAGATGGTAAGAGGAGCCCCGTCTTGTTCCACACGCCCCAAAATAAGACCTCCCCGAAAATAAGGCCAAGCGCTTATTTCGGGGTTAAAAAATATATAAGACAGGGTCTTATTTTCAGGGAAACACGGTAAGATACCCTGCCTTCTTTCACTTGTTGGGAAGATGGTATTCATCAGTGACAGGTACCTTTAATGAGTTGTGCTGAAAAGAAGCAATGTATTAAAAGAGACCAACTTATTCAAGCTTTTGATTCCATTTACAGTATGCAATTGCGGTGTGCATTATTGCTTTCTGTGCTGATTGTGCCCATCAAAGACAGAGTGGAGGATCTACATTCTCTATGTTTACCCTTCCCAAAGGGAGGAAGTAAGCCAACCTGATATGCTTTCTAAATCCCCAGCAGCAAGCAGGGAGGAGAAATACAGTACGAGGTCTTTAGGCAAAAAGGAATTGGAGGGTAGTGCCTGAGAGATAGATCGCCTATAATACTTGCTAGGTATGCATTTTCTCATGTAAGCCTCTCAATTTGTTCCTGGGAGCCTGCTTATTGAACCAATCTGTGACTAATTTTGTAATAATACTGGTTTACTTTATATTGCATTTCAACAGTGGAACTAGGTGCTGGTGCAAAACATCTAAACATCTAAACCAGGAGTGTCAAACTTGATTTAATTGAGGGTTGCATCAGGGTGGGCATGGCCAGGGTGGGCATGGCCAGCTCGATGTCACTCATGTCGGGGCACCTATGGTGGCCCGAATGCTCTGCCAGTGACAATGGAGCTCGGGGGGGGCCACTCTGTTTTCACTGGCAGAGGGTTGCAGGAGGCTGTTGCAGTCGAAAACGGAATTGTTTTCGCTGGCAGAGGCACTGTGGGCCGGTCCTTCACTGTTTCCAGAGAGGCCCTGCAGGCCAGATCTAAGCACAGTGGTGAAATCCAAATTTTTTTACTATCAGTTCTGTGGGCATGGCTGGGTGGGAGTGATATGGCTTGGTGGATGTGATTTGGTGGGCGTGGATACTGCAAAATCTCCATTCCCACCCTACTCTGGGACCAGCCAGAGGTGGTATTTGCTGGTTCCCTGAATTACTCAAAATTTCCGCTGCAGGTTCTCCAAACAGCTCAAAATTTCCGCTACCAGTTCTCCAGGACCTGTCAGAACCTGCTGGATTTCACCCCAGTCTAAGCACCCCGCAGGCCACATCTGGCCCGCAGGCCTTGAGTTTGACATCCCTGATCTAAACTCTAGAGATTCCAATATAGTACAGCCTTTCTTTTCTAAATGAGCAAATAATTCTGATCAAATGCTTTCGCTAGGAGCTCACCCAGTGAAACTGGCGGGAGAATGTGAACTGAAAAGTATCAGCATGATTTACTGACGGTTCAAAATTATAACAACACTGAATAAAAAGGACTTCTGATTGCTTTTCACACTTACAACCAGTGGTGAAATTTGATTTTTTTTACTACCACTTCTGTGGGTGTGGCTTGGTGGACGTGGTGTGGCTTGGTGGGCGTGGCTTGGTGGGCATGGCAGGGGAAGGATATTGCAAAATCCCCATTCCCACCCCACTCTGGGGCTAGCCAGAGGTGGTATTTGCTGGTTCTCCGAACTACTCAAAATTTCCGCTACCGGTTCTCCAGAACCTGTCAGAACCTGCTGGATTTCACCCCTGCTTACAACCATTGCAGCATCCCCATGGTCACATCATCAAATTTCGGGCATTCGGCAACAGGCATGTATTTATGACAGTTGCAGTGTCCCAGGGTCATGTGATCACCATTTGTAACCTTCCAACAAGCAAAGTCATTGGGGGAAAGCCAGAGTCACTTAAAAAGCAAAGTTCACAGTTAACAATTGCTTTGCTTAGGAACGGAAATTTTGGGCTCAATTTGTTTGTAGGCCAAGGACTACTTGTAGATCTTTCCCCTGATCTGAGCAGAATATACCTTATGGTCATTAATGAATGAGTTTCTTACCTCTCTCTTAGATAATTTATGGGAGAGATCCATCTACAGAAAGAAAGAAAAAAAATAAGTTCACTTGATCTGCTGTAAATTCACTTTTTAAAACGCCTAGACTGTAATGTTTTTTTGGTGCAAAGGAAGAAATACCACTTCCCATTACCAACCTGTTCATACTCCCTTATCAGCAGGATACCACGTGGGTGTAAATGAGAAGTCTTTTACATCCAAGTTGTACACTGGAATCAATTGCTGGCTTTCAGACACTGGGTTAAGGCATTGTTTATTTAGCCATTCATTTTAAAATATTGGTAGCACCTCTATAAGGTTTTTGTGATTTTATTTGCTGGTTTTATTTATATGTTATCATATCTATCATATAGAGGTAGAACCGTTTATTTTATATCACCCAGGAACCTGATTTAATGTGGATGATATTAAAATTAATTTAAATCAATCCAAGTTTTCTTGAACTTTTATTTAATTTTGCATTTACTAATTTTTAACAGTGATATATCGAAAATGGCAAAGCTTCACTTTATAGACTTTATATTAATAATAATAATTTTATTGTCATTGTACGTATATACACAGTATACCCATACAACGAAATTCACTTAATACCCAAAGACCAGGTCCAACACACATACCAATCCCCAAACGCACACACACACACCACAAATTCCCCACCCCTAAACCACCCAAACATCCACACAACAAACCAAGTAATGCTGTCCAACAGCTCACTGATGGTGGCCCTTTAGTTCATTGTTGAGTGCAATTATAGCTCTGGGATTAAATTATCGAAGCAAATGCATTATGCCAGGTACTGCTTAAGCACTACAAGTACTTTAGGGGAACATATTCTGCACAACTTTTCCTCAAGGAACTCCATATATAATATACTATATATATGTATTTCTCTTTAGCCAGGTTCTTCCTATGTAAACCAAGATTTTTATGCATCCCTAGTTCAGTGAAATCCCAATCCACTAGTTTCTAGGCTAGAAAGCTAAGCCTAAAAACTAGTGGATTGGGATTTCTCTGAACTAGGGCTGCATAAAAATCTTGGTTTACATAGGAAGAACCTGGCTAAAGACAAATACACATAAAGGCCTACGGAAAGAAAAGAAAACATATACTATATATATATTATATACAGCTAATTCGTTTATATAAAGCTAATTCAACAGCTTTGAACACACCATAGCTATTTTAGCCACTGCTAACAGACAAACAGCTATTTTCTTTACACTAATTTAATGTAAACAGTATGATTCAATAATTGAATCTTTTGAAATTTCACACCCCATGATACCGAATGTATAGCTCAGGACTGTTCATAATGAAAAGTAACATGGAAATGCTTTGAATACATCAAGTTAAAAAAATTACATAACCATCATATTCCATTTCTGAATAAACAGCATTATACAATATTCAGAAGAGAATTCAGAACTAGTAAGCAAAGAAATTTAATTGCATAGTAGAAAAGATAACTATTTTATCTCTCCCTACAATATCACACCCTACATTGCCTTTTACTCTTTAAATTTCTCTGTTTTTGATGATCAACAAACTCTCATGGTCTTCCTTTCAACCAACCAATTCTTAATTACATAATAGAAAAGATCACTATTTTAAACTAACTCCATTTATTATTTATTCTTCCTTTGCATCTGTTTTGCAATTCATCTCTCATGATAAGCCATATTTAACAGACAGTTAAAACCAGAGGTCATGATTCCAAGGCAGAACTAGACTGCTTTCAGAGCTACAAGGTTTTGAGACATCATAATTATTTATTTTGCAAGACAAAATAATACTTTACTTTTTATAATCAGCAGATAAAAAGTTCTAGAAATGAATATTGCAGAAGCTTTAAGCCTTAGTCTGTAATGCACTGGAAATGTTGCCCAAAGATTTTTCTAGCCAGCATGATTGCTAATTGGGAAGGACAATTTGGCAATGAGAAGAGTTTCCATGAGGGTTTGCTCACAAGATGGGGAATTTACAAATATAATCCATTGCATTGCATTCTACAACTTGCAGAGTTAACTTGTTGGGCAAAAGATAAACACACAAACACTCAGAACAGGAGATACATTTAGCTACAAGAATTGTCAGCTACAACAAGTAGCTTTAAGAGCTGGTATTTAGTTATGAAGACTAATAAAAATAAATCCTGTGAAGGTGTTCTTAAAATTAATAGGACAAAACATGTGTGGTATGTGCCTCCCATAACATTTCAAACCTCTCCTAATAAAAAAGCTATTAACTGCACAATGAGCTCCTCCAAAAATGGGTCCTGCAAATAATACTGGATTTTGTGTTCTTTTTTAGCAGAATAACCCAAGCACTGTTTTCACTAAACTTGTCCTCCCCACTCCTGAAAAAGCAGAAACTTCCCACTATACTCACGACAGTCAGCATTAGAATTTATTTTGTAACTATTATAGGTAGTCCTTGCTTAATGACCACTCATTCAGTGAAATTATGACAGCATTGTACATATGATAGTTATGACTGGTCCCCAAAATTATTGTCACAGTATCCCCATGTCACATGATCATCATTTCCAACCTTCCCGGAGAGCTTCCCACAACCAAAGTCAATAAAGAAGCCGACAGGAAATCAGAAGTTGTGATCACTTGTGAGCTTCACTTAATGACCTGTGGTGATTTGCTTTATAATGGCAATGGAGGACTGCTGGGATTGTCATTGCTAAGTGAGGTGGTCACATGACATTGCACTTTACTCCCACATCACTTACCAATGGAAATTTTGGTCCCAATTACCTTCCTTTCAATTATCACCATTAAGTGAGGACTACCGATAAAAGGGGTGTAAAATTCTGGGCCTAGAAAACTTATAACTATGCCGTCTTCGGGATGACCTAAGTGTAGCTCATAAAATTATCTGCTACAATGTCCTACCTGTTAACGAATACTTCCACTTCAACCACAACAATACACAAGCACACAATAGATACAAACTTAAAGTGAACCGCTCCAAACTTGATTGCAGAAAATATGACTTCAGCAACAGAGCGATCAATGCCTGGAATACACTACCCGACTCTGTGGTTTCATCCCCAAACCCCCCAAAATTTTAACCTGAGTTAAGGTTTAACTCAGTGAGGAGAATTCAAAAAGATAGAGTACTTCCAGTTTAGCTGTTGGTGACCACACGGATACATACACATAGTTATCTTGGTAACAAGTGGCTTGCCGTGGCCTTCTTTTGGGATGCATTAATCCCCCAGTCTAGGCAGCAGCCCTAGAATTATTCAGACATCTCCCATTCAAGTACTCATCATCTCTGAGTACTCTGGTTTCAGGGTTTTTTTTTCAGAATCAGTTGATATAAGTTAGATGCTGTCATCTGCTGTAATGAGCAATTTGCACCTATTCACATTTGCACCCACAAGTCAAATCAGACAACTTTCTTCTTCCACAAATCGAGCCAAGATTAATACTGCCATTGAAAGACAACAGGGTAGTGCAATGTCTTCTTACATCTAACCTCTGCACTCCATTGATCAAAAATCATCCTAGTTTGTTCCTTTTAAACTCCATGCTAAAGTAGGAAGTGGAATCCATCTCCCATCAGATGCAGCTGAACTACATTTTCTACCATTTCACGCTGCATTTTCACATTAGTCAGGTTTTAAAAAAAACAACTGGGATGGGGGGACTAATTCTCTACAATTGCAATCGAGAGATGAAGCTGTATCTTGACTTCTGCTTCCAGTTTAAGAGACAGAGCTGGAAAGAATGGTTTCATCGTCCCTGTATGTTCCTTACCTTCTCCAAAGCCTTTTAAGGTTTTCAAACACGTTTCTTTATTTTAACACTCAATATTATAAAGATCTTGAGGCATTCATTATCAGAGTTAGAAGGGACCTTGGAGGTCATCTAGTCCATCCCCCGCTCACGCAGGAGACCTGTATAGGGATTCAAACTGCCGAACTGCCGATCTGTCTGATCGACAAGCTCAGTGTCTTAGCCACTAAACCATCAAGTTAGGCAAGTAGAGTTCCATGGAATCTACTGAAGTGTGATTTTAAGTGTGACTTTGTTGAGAAGCAGAAGTGCCTTATCACCTCCACAATGAATGAAGATTTATTTTAGGCAAACTTACACAATTGAGTATGTTGCAGGAAAATATGAGCAACCAAGGCTATTGCTATCAGGAGATTGGAAAAAATAGCTTGAAAATGGGAAGGAGATTTTTTTTTTTTTTGGATAGGGTAGGCTTTGCCGTACATTATGCAAAAGATAGAAAGTGCAGCAACACATTTGCTACTTCTGTAATTAAGACAATGGGGGAGGCTGAGAGGAAGATTATGGACTCTTGGTGCCCTGCCAGATTATGTTTTGCTTTCTGAATAATAGTTAAAAGCCCAATTTTGAATTAAAGCTAGTCTTCCAATTTCTCTCTTTCCCACCTCAGAAATCAGTAGTTTAAGAGAATGATGATCAGATAGGTTGACCATAAAATCGTTTGATGAACACAGAGTTCAGATGTCATACAAAGATAGAATGTGGTTTGGTTATAGTTATTTTGTATGAACTAATGTGGCTTGCAAATTATGGCTTACTCCTTAAGAGCTATGCTCTCTAATCCCTTTATGGTTTATTTGATACATCACCGTTAAATTATGATTTAGAGCACTATGCAAACTAAGATGAGAGTAACGAACAAGGCCCTGGGCAAGTTAGTCACTATTTATCATTCATTGGGAAAGGAAGTTAGCTACTCAGAGGAATTCTATACTCAGAAAATGTTTAATAGTGGTTAATAATATAAATACAAAATACAATGGAGTTTGAATCTGCAAAACCTCTTCTCCAAAGAACCTGAAGGCAGAAGCAACAGATGGGAACTAATCAAGGAGAGAAGTAATTTAGAACTAAGGAGACAGAACAATTAATCAGTGAAATAACTTGCTTCTAGAAGTTGTGGTTGCTCCAACAACGGAAGTTTTTAAGAAGAGACTGGACAACCATTTGTCTGAAATGGTATAGAGTCTCCTGCTCGAGAAGGGGGTTTGGCTAGAAGACCTCCAAAGTCATTTCCAGCTCTGTTATTCTTTTCCACGCTTGTCTGGATTGATTGTATTTTCAACATTCAAGTTTGCATGTTGTTTCTTTTTGCTAAAAAAAAAAAACAATTATGGTAAGTCTCTCTCTAGATAGGAACTAGCTATTGGAGCCGGTCCTCATTCTGTTCTGAGCCTCACTGAACATCTTTTGGCAAGTCACAAGCACAGCCACCTCTGCAGACTTTTGTATAACTATTTCAGAGGTCAAACCAAGAAAGCAGCTTAATAACTCTTATGGTATCTAAATGCACTCCTAAAGGTTTCAGCATATTTTCAAATTAAAGCAGAATGTGAAAGAGAAAGGGAGGGAAAAAAAGGTTGATTGCAGTTAAGCACCACCACCTACGTTTCTGCTGTCTTCTGGGGGGTTTTCCATCATTAGGGTCTCACTCTCAGGCTCCATACTGGGATGGACTGGGGAAGGGGTAAGCCGAGCGGAGGACACCGTCAGAACATGGCCATGTTTTCCGACAGAGGCTGACCCACAAAGTCAGAAGTCTGCCTTTCCTAGCGTGAGGCTCCCATCGGCTCTCACATGCTGAAGAGGAAACCACACTCTTTTATCACTCTGACCATTGTAGCAACAAACGGAAATTGAAGCACGGCTCTCTTTCTCAGCGTATACCTTGCAGTTCTCTAAACATGGAGTTCTCTCCCTGATGCTGAATAGACCCTAAAAAAAATTACTTGTCCTCCTCTGATGGTTTCTCTGTAGTCACCCCCCTGGAGCTAAATCTGGATGCAAACTCTCTCAACCAATGTTTCTCAACCACGCTGGCTAGGGAATTCTGGGAGTTGAAGTCCACACATCTTAAAGTTGCCAAAGTTGAAAAACACTGCTCTAAACAGATTAATATAAATTTACACTCACATTGCCCCCAATAGAAAGGAGAACTATGAATTTCTAAGAGAGCACTGCCAGAGGCTAACAGGACCAAGCACCTTTTATACCTTATACATTATGGGTGATGTATTCTTCGTCAGGTTTGTATTACTTTTTTTTGTTATCTTGAAACTAATTATCCAGCATATGTAATCCACAGAAAGCTTCAGCTTTGAAATAAAGTTCAGGACCAAAGCAGTGGTGAATTCAAATTTTTTTACTACCAGTTCTATGGGTGTGGCTTGATGGGCATGGTGTGGCTTGGTGGGTGTGGCAGGGGAAAAATACTGCAAAATCCCCATTCCCTCCTGGGGGAAGGATATTGCAAAAACTCCATTCCGACCCTACTCTGGGGCCAGCCAGAGGTGGTATTTGCCGGTTCTCCGAACTACTCAAAATTTCCATTACCGGTTCTCCAGAACCTGTTGAATTTTACCCCTGGAGCAAAACAAATTCCACAGAGCAAGTTCCATAAATGGTGCTCTTCTCCAAGGCCAGATTGAAGTAATGGTCATTCAGTTTTTTGTGGTGGTTTCCACAGAGTGAGTGGGATTTCTTTAGGCCCTGGCAGTGGTGAAATCCAATTTTTTTTACTACCAGTTCTGTGGGCGTGGTTTGGTGGGCATGGTGTGGCTTGGTGGGCATGGCAGAGGAAGGATATTGCAAAATCCCCATTCCCTCCCTACTCTGGGGCCAGCCAGAGGTGGTATTTGCCGGTTCTGCGAACTACTCAAAATTTCCGCCACCGGTTCTCCAGAACCTGTCAGAACCTGCTGGATTTCACCCCTGGGCCCTGGCGATTGCAAAACTGACTAGTTATTTTCCAGACAGGCCTGACATGATGCAACTTGCTTGTGGCATGAAAAGGCTTCGCTGATAAGCACTGATATGAAACAGACCTCCAAGAGAGGAAGGCCTACTCTGTCCCAAGCCAGTACATTTTCTCAGAAATTGAAACAGATCAAGACAGGGTCAAACATGTTTGTCTTTTCTTCCCCAAGAAAAAAAACCCAATATGTTTCAGCTTAGATCTCAGATCTGATTTTGTCTTGCTAAAACACCAGTAAGGAGGCATTGCATTTGGAAATTCTAGTTGTGGTCATCTTGGTTTGTCTTTGAAAAACAAATACATGCCTCATAATTACTATTGTTTCAAATATCCAGTATACAAATCCTTTCCCTTTAAAGAAGATTAGAATATGGCACCAATTTTTCTTTTAAACATTAATGCTTTGATGGTCTTGATCATACAGGGCAAAGGAATTTCTTTGTTTCTCTTTTTATTTCCTCCTTTCTCAGTAATGATCTATACCTCTGTAGCTCTCATGGGACCTCTAAATGAAAATAACAATAAAAATGTACAAGAATGTGTTATTGAGGCAATATGCAATTGGCAAAATTAAAATGGGCCAGTGAAATTTAGATCTTTGTATGAGAGCAACCTTATATGATGTTTTATTTCTCTTGGGATGAAAACATATAAAAATCCTTATTCCTGTGCCAGTATATTAGAACAATATAGATCTCCGTTAGGGTAACATGGTCTTCAGTTCATCGCTATATGGTGTATATGGGTATGAGGATTATTGACGTACCTTTCCTGCATCTGGTCACTGGGTTGATGGTCAAGTCCCTGTCTGTTGGTGTTGAATGACTTCAACCTCCATTCATTAGAGGCTCAGTTTAGTAGAGTCCCAGGGGTTTATGGTCTCCATGAAAACCATGAGCCTATCTAGATAATCACTGATCTGATACACAGAGATTAGATCCTATTTTCACTTGATCTGAATATGAGAGTACTATCACCATCCTTTTGTCATGGCCAGAGCGTTTCATGGTACAAATGTGAGTGATTATCATCCCTGATCTCCACAGGGCTGGAGCTCTGGATCCAGATGATTTCAACCAGGTTCTTGAGGTTTCCCCCCACAATCTGACAGGCATATCCATCAAGAAGCTAGTTTGCCACTGGCCAATTTTTGGGCACTTTTGGGGAGAGGGTATCTATGATTTTCTGAGGCTTTTCTAGGGTTATAACTTCACAGTTATTAAATTGCTTGACCCAAGAATCCTTTTTCCCGGTCTCAATGTCATTACCTCCACACACATAAACAAAAAACAGATTTGGTTATTGAAAAATTCAGCAGCAGCAATCCTAAACTGGATCCTTGATCCACAAACATGCAATTGCAATTGCTTCATTACCCCAGGATACGCCCAAATAACCTCAATTTAACAGCCACTGCTCTAGGACATGAAACATTAAAAATGGTTAGAGCATAGTTGAAGAACAACATTTTAATCTGAACAAACACAAGTATGTGCCCAGGATCAGGACTACACCATGTTGTTAAGAGAGGCAAAGTATTCTTACTTCTCACTTTGCATCCACATTTATAATCCAATGGTTTTATTTCAGATGCCTGATTCTTTCTGGGGAAAAACCAATTGCAATATGTACATATGGTAAATCTTCAGCTTCATTATGCACAGATTTCTAAACAATCAGTAGCAAACCATCAGGTACTTAGAGCAACTTTGATACTAATTCTTACAACCTTCTGTATATAAACAGAATTTGTGTGCTTGTTTGGAAGCAGTTAATCTCTTTCATACACTTGTAGTCAGGATATCTGAGCACTATTTCTCTGAAACATGTAGCACATCCACCCTTATGAAAAGCCTTCTCTGTCTTTAACATCTGGAGAATGGATTAGTGTACTTTAGCTTCTTTGGATCCCTTTGTTTCTGACGTCAATAGTTCTAGTGTGCATTTCTACATAGCCTTTGCAATATGGTGTCTGTTGGACCACATGTTAATATTAAACATTAACATCTGGTGCTAGTTTGTCTAGGCACAGACCATGTTACAATAGTTTTTCTACTACCAGCTCAGGCTTCGCTGCAGCCCCTTGGCTCTTGTAGCTTCTGTTTTCTCACTCCCTGTGCCCTACTGACCAGAGAACACAACAAAAGTGAATAAGAGGCATTCAGCTGCCAAAGACTGCTCACTCATTCTGATTTCTCTGCCTAGGGGCAAAGAATAGGCCTAAGCCTGTCTTCCCTGTAGATATGATGAGCCAGCTGTCATACACCTTCACTGCACTGATTGGAGGGAGGAATCCAATGACGCTTTAGCACTACATGATTTACTGACCACAAGGGGACAGTGTGATGTGGAGAGCGAAAGATTTCCTCTGTGTCTCCCATTTTGTCACTCTGCCTGCTTTTTGTCTAAAAGGGTGCTAATCTCAAGTCAATTCCTACTTTTTTTTCTCCCAGGTACACATGATTACAGAACACATGCTTTCAGACTCTCCTCCTTAATAGGATGTACAGGTAGTCCTCGACTTACAACAGTTCATTTAGTGACCGTTACAAGGGCACTGAAAAAATTACTTATGACTTACAACCATCGCAGCATTCCCCCTGATTAAGTAACCAGATTTCAGGCACTTGGTAACTGACTCATATCTATGATGGTTGCAGCGTCCTGGAGTCATGTGATCAACTTTTTGCGACCTTCTCACAAGCAAAGTCAATGGGGAAGCCAGATTCATTTAACAACCATGTTACTAATTTAACAACTGTAGTGATTCACTTAACAACTGTGGCAAGAAAGGTCCTAAAATGGGGCAAAACTCACTTAACAAGTGTGTTGTTTAGCAACAGATATTTTGGGCTTAATTGTAACAAATCTAGGACTATCTGTAGCTAGCCTGTTACTTGGTTTTGCTCATCTCCATCAGGCATTTCCTGCATATAAATCTGTTATACTGCAGTTACTATATAAGACCTACAATACTTTATTAGTCATTGCTCAGGATAGATTCCTGCTCACATGCAGGATTAGCAAAAATATGTAAATGGGTTTAAATTCCATTAAAGACAATTGAATATGGGTACTGTGGTACCTTCCTAAATTCACCAATCTGCTGCCTCAGATCTACTTGACAGAGCCCTGAGCTTAAACATTTTCTATAATTCTACCAGTCCATTAATTAATACTTCCTTGTTGGTATAATTACTGTTATAACATCCTGCATAGATTTTGAAACCTCTTATATACAACTTTTAAGAAGAATCCTCTTTTATACCACAATAGCCTGAATTAAAAAAAAAAACTTGTGGGGTTTACAAAAAAACTTGGCTTACCTCTCTTGTGTCGATCGTTCTGCAGATCTGAATTTCCTTAGATTCTTCTAAAAATAGTTACCTAGAAATAGAAGAATTTAGCTTTGTATATTCTCAGTCATCCATGGGAAATTTTTCAAAATGATTCACTTCTTTTTAGTTCAAAGCTATAGAGCTGGTGTGGGGGTGGTTAAGTTCAATGTGATAATTACGCAAATGTCAATGATACTCAAGGAAAAACTTTGCTGTGTAAAAACCAAAAATCACCTCATTTCACAATAAACAGCAGATGTTGAAGAAAAGCCATTTATGAGAAACCAAAAGATTTAGCACTGCTTCACTACCTCTTCAAAGGGAGCAATACCCAATCTCCTGAAGCCACATTATTCATTACCATAAAGCCAGACAGTGTATAACTTCAGGGTATGTCTAATTTTGAAATGAATTGGGTTGATTTATATATTATTAGTCACCTTTATGGTGGATGTTCTCTGCAATTATAGAGGCCCAGATGAACCCACTGCTTTTAAGAGCTGGAAACTTGCTTAACATTCTTTCCATTTGAAGGACTTAGAGAAGAAGGTGCAAAAAAATGAATAGAACAATGTTTAACATAGTTATCCAATAAACATATTTATAATAGCTAACCAACTATTGTAATTGCTGTGTCTGGATGTCAGCCCTTCAATGTAATCTAGACAGGAAACTGAAAAGTGTCCTAACACTACCTTTATTGTAAGGCCACAGGAACAGAATCATGCAAATTTG